TTTTGGCGGGGGTCCTAGGCTGAACCCTCAGATATCAATTGTCAAATTTCGATGAGTTCCCATGGCAACCAATATATAACATCCAAAAGCCATACCAAATATCCAAATATAAGACCAATGCCATACCAAATGTTTAATAAAAATAGGTCTAATGCCATACGAATGCTATGATTGGTCAAAAGTAGAATATCTCCCGGTTAAAAAGCTAATATTTAAACTGAAGAATGTCCCGAGAAGAAGGTGATCTTCGAGGAAAACGTTCCAAAACAGCCTCAAATTAAGGAAATGTTTAACTACTAGACCAATACCATACCACGAATGTGAGCTAACATATTTTCAATGACCATTCTCATACCAGAAACTGTCATAATTTGGTGGGCATTCCTATACCAGATCCTAAAATTTGGGTCCATTGCCATATTGCCAAATGTCAAAAAAGTACCCCATGTGCGCCGAGGATCCCCGTCGAGGCATATATACAGTGAACCCCCTCGGTACTTTATCAAGGAACGATTTAGAATAATAAGCAAATGAATGAAATCTAGCATTCACAAACACGTTTAAATGTCTACGGTTAAATATCGACACATCATTTGAGTGTGAATTGATTCTATTTGTTTCAGTTGTAATAACCGAAGTGTGTTCTGTTTATGAACATAATTCTGTTTGCAAGAATGGAGGAAGTTGCATTGATGAAAACAGCTCCCCACGTTGCAGGTGAGGTCACAAGTGAAAAGTAGCCAAAAGGTGGCAACAAGGGTGTCATTGTATCCAGGGCATTGTTTGTAATGATCTATTAAAGGTTCTACAACTTAAACTTGTTCTGCATCTTCAACCCCATACAAGTTATTACTGTAAATGATGTCATTCATGACGTGAGTCATCCTGTTTCGTGATTGTGTCACAACATGTGTGTTACGAAACAGCGTTATCCTTAACTTACAAATATGACTTATAAAAATATATCAGTTTCGGCTGTTTTCCATATGTTTTCAGTTGTTTTGCTCTTGTTTCCAGTTGTAACTTCATGTACAAGGGGACATACTGCGAGTCCTTGAACACAGAAGCTACACTGGCAGTGGGTCTTGGGACGGCAGGAGGCATCCTTCTTATTCTTGTCGTGTGTTTGCTAGTGTGCCTCTGCAGGAAACGACAGAAGTAAATGTTTTAGTAGCCATTTAAAAAGTAAATACGAAATAGTCATAAACATTATGACCAGAACATGAGCTTGCTCGGCGCATCTTGGCAAATGCACGTGTCTACGCATATAAACATGGACCCCTGTCCAGGGTGATTTATTTAGTATAAGATATCTCGGTTGTATGTTCAGCTCAAAGTTGATCTACAAAAGCCCACGGTATGTTGAGGTCTAGTTAGTATCCGTGCATATTATGGAAAGCACAACGAAGATTAATTAGCACCCAACAAGCACAGGTTAACGTCTCCAAGACTAGATGGATGTGATGTATAAAACCTCAAATCATAAATTGCTGTCACCTGTGCCATAATAATCGACTCTATGACTCTCCTTGACTTATACTTTTACAGGTCACAAAAATATCGTGGTGATAATTATAAAAATTACTATGATGATGATGATCAGAGTAGTGGACGACAAGAGGTGTGGAATGGTTCCAGTTATGGCTACTTCAACCCCGGCATGAGAAACATGACTTTCACAGACTATCCAGAAGTACCAAATGAGAGCAAGGACCACATTTCAGATCCCCCTACCTACAGGGGGAAACTTAACAAAAGTGACGGTATGTTTTCGAACCGGGCTGTTTACTTTGTATTTTGTATAAGTCGTATGTGCTAGTGCACAATGGTCTAAAGGACCCTTTTAACAGTTGCAACACTTTCATAAATAAGCCACCTGGTTGTCCAGATAATGACATTTTGTGTGAAAATGGGTTAGAGTCTCTCCCTTCTTTCAGATCCCCTGGTTGACAAGGCTAGCGAGCAGACCCCCTGGTTCATTGCCCTCAATACAGAAATGGATGTAAGTATACAACCATGATTCACGGTTCAGCACAGCTTTAAAGAGAGAATCAGATCTAGCGAGCAGGCCAAACAAAAATTGTATTTCTGGCTTATGTCATTTCTTGTCATGTCTATTTTCTAAAAATCCCCAAAGTTCACACTTTATTTCAGGAAAACTAAAGATTTTGACAACAATGTATCATTTTTCTATAAGAATGGTTACTATTCTTGTTATTTGGGAAAAAATAAACATTTTCACCCATTTTTGCACTTTGAATCTATGATAACTTCACCAATTAATAACATATCATGAATCTTTTTGAATATATTGTATTTGAAATTGTAAGGAAAAGATTGGTAGGTCAGTACATGTTGCTTGTAATTTTGTCACCCCTATAGATCTGATTCTGCCTTTAATTTAAATACTTTTTATACACATAAACCCATTTTGTAAACATATACTCAACTTTGTGAACATATACTTAACTGTAAACTCACTTTGGTAAACATTAACTCAACTTATTGTTAATATACGTATAGCCACTTTTGTTAATGTACACTCAATTTTAAGTACTAAACTTTATTCTTCAGTTTAAAATCAAAAGACCTACTGTTGGAGATAGTCCCAAGGTCCCACCAAAGACTTACAGAAATGAACACGTAGAGGGTACTCCCATGCAGAGCTGTGATCCCTCTTACAGAATACACAAACTGAACTAGACATTTCACTGAACTGAACCAGGAAAATAAGAATTGCTTCCCATATGATGATTAACAAATGCATGGTAAAGATGATTTTACAAGAAGTAAAATGACAAAATAGTGTCCAAATTATAACTATTGAATTTGACTTTGAGCAGAAAGTGTGTAGATCAAATCGTTTATACACTTTATTACGGCAGTGTAACTGTTGCCTCACTTATACAATGCTCAATAATTCAGGAGACTTCATATTTCAGATGCTACAATGTACATATAGCACCATAATTCACTATTGTTTCACTACATAAGAAATGAGAACAACGACCTTATACAATGGTCAAGATCGAGCATTATCTACCTTAAAGCCTCTGTTGAATAAGAGTGAAAATGATCTTAGAAATGTTACCATTACATATTCTACATATTTACTGGGACACCTGATATATCCAAGAAGACATATTGTATAATTAACTATTTTATGCATACAAAACAAAACATATTTGTTCATAGTTTTATTTCAATGGTATGGTAAATATTGCTAATTGCTTTGTATCCATATGCACATTAAGACCACATGCAGATTTAATGTGTATTTTATCTTACGAGCGCTAAACGAAGTAAGAACTGTGAACACTCCTTCATCTCAATTAATTTAACATTTTAACAAATGTCATTGACATCAATTATAATATTTCTTAATCTTTTTTTAGTTTCTGTTCATTATCACTATGATAGTGACTCTCAATTAATCAGAAGCATTTTAACATTGTTATAAACATAAGCCATTGACATGATTTTCTTCTTTCTTCAATTTCTGTTCATTGTCACTATGATGGTGACTCTCAATTAACATTTTAACATTGTTATCAACATAAGCCATCGACATGAATTTCTTCTTTCTTCACTTTCTGTTCATTATCACTATGATGATGACTGCGATAAGTCCAAAAAACAGGACATGAATTCAATCCAATATTTTTAAAGTGAATTTTTATGAAATATTATCCAAGTATTTAGATGAAACGGTCTTATTCAAATACAAAATCATAATATGGTGATATTTTTTTCATAAAATATATTTCCATGAAATCCAATTGAAGGGACAAGATAAAACGAGCTAATTTTGGTGAAAACTCTTACATGAGTAAAGGGTGAAGATAAAATGATCGAATTTAGGTGCAAATCGAAACATGTTTTCATGGATATTTTCTATGAAATCCCATCCAAGGGTCAAGGTAAAATTTTGATTTGGTACTAGGTCACGTGTCATCCATTTGATAGATCCATATAGGACCATATAGGAATGCCATTTTGAATGCCTTAATGGGTAGATATATGAAAAATAGGAAAATTTTAGAAGTGTGCCTGTTTTGTCTTTTAGAAGTCAATATATTGGCTTTAGGAATCTGCAATAATCAGAAAATTCCATAGTGAACTTATGAGAAAATGACACTTTAGTAAAGCCATATTGAGAGTAGTTTATAACATGAACTGATGACTTCAACAACAAGTACACCAATCTCAACACAAAGTTAAGAAATAAGTTCAACGTCCGAATCCAGTATCACAACAGAGGAAACCATACATACGACGTTGAAAACCACTACATACAATATCTGAAACCATCATAGCAACAACAGAATATATCACCATGGTTACTGACGAAACCACCATCGAAATACTGGTAACTTTGACTTCATGATCAGCACAAACTATAAAAACCACAGAGCCGAGCACATGCGGTAGAACTACTTGTCCATCTGGTAGATTTGGCACTAATTGTGAAAAACGTAAGTTGACCAAGAAAACATAAGGATAGAAAACATGGAAAGTAATCATGGAAGCCGAAGTTCGTATTATATTAAATCAATTTAAACAACTGAACAAACGTCATAGAATTTACAGGATTTGCCTTAATTCATCTATGTAATGTATATATAGTAATGTATAGTATTTGATTAACTCTCAAATAGTTTTTTTTTTACTTTTTATTGAAAATAATACTAGGCAGGACTCGCTCTCTAAATAGCTAATAAAAATTCAACCCTTGGATGTGATTTCGTTGAAAAAATATGACAAGTCAATCAAATAATTTGTCCAGAACCTCTTAAGATCTTGTTTTCAATTTTGTTTACAAACATTGCTGCCTGTTAAGTATGACATCATAAATCTAGCCAATATACCCTAGTTTCATTGGTTCACAAATAGGGGTACCGGTCAGGATTTATTGGAAAGGTCTATTGTTCTTAAAAGCTTATAGTTATATTGATAGTCAAACTCAACAAAAAGACATATTGTATAACCATTTTATGCATACACAATAAAAAAAAATTGTTCATATTTTTATTTTAACGTTCAAACGTGGTTTGGTAAATATATATTCATGCTAATCCCGAACTATATTCACATTATTTGTAGACAACCGTTGTATCCGAATACAATACCACATACAGATATCCTTTTCGGTGTATTTCATATTGAGAACGCTATTACAAATAAGTATGTGTGAACAATAACCATTTTAACATTGTTATTAACACATTCCATGGCATTGAATTGTTTTTCCTTTAATTCCTGTTCATTATCACTATGATGGTGACTGCGATAATTCCAACAATAAGGACACTTCCAACTATGATGACAACAATCGACAGCCTATTGAGCCCAACTTGATCTGCAATTTAAAATTGTTTAATTTATGTTATATTTGGATCCATCTGTATGTCACTGTTTTCTATAAAATTATGTATTTGACATGTTACTACTAATTACTCATACATGATTTTATTGATAAGCCCACCTTTACATATCCTCCCACGTAACGCAGAGTCATCGCTTTCATCCATAAACCCATTTTGGCATACGCACGTGTATGATCCAACCTGGTTTAAGCACGTAGCATTTGCATGGCAATCGTTGGAGACTTTAGTTGTGCACTCGTTGTAATCTAATAATAATAAAGTATCTTATATTTATTTCAAATGTAAGTTATACATGATCATTTTGTAGTGATTATAATGCTCTACATACACATTAACATTTTATAACAGATGGTCTTGTAAAAACAATGTTAACAAGTTAAGAATTCGTTTTTTATTTTTTATTTTTTCATTTTTTAGTTAGGAATTCTTAGTACCTTTCACTAATTCAGGCGGTCCTGTGTAGTTAAGTAAACCATATTGGTTTGCAGCTGTTACATTAAATGACGCCTTTACAAAATCAACTGTTGCAGGATCACTAGCACCACCTGTCGACAATGGATCTAGAGTCAGAGAAAAGGCTACCAAGACAGATCCACTTGTTACATTCTCAATCTTCAGGAATACTCGAAACCGTTGTCCAAGACTGCTGCGTTTATATCCTTCACTAGCCTGTCAATGTGAAAAAATGCATCTCAGATTCTTATGAATAGAATAAGCATCTATCGACCGGAAAATAGTAAAAGGACTACTTGCTGTGGTAGACTTCTTTACCATAATGCCAATATCTCTAAAATTAATCAGATTTGTATTTTTTAATTCGGTGATTTACATTTAAGATTTCATTTTGTGCCAAAGGAGACTATTTTAAAATTTATATTTATTAAGATATAATATTATAACACAAGGCATTAACATGACAAAATGACACCATCGAGTTGCAATTAAAATTGGATCCAAAATATCAATCTGAAATTCAACTTGTTTTACCTTTTGCATTGAAGGTCAACTAAAGGTGAAATCTCAAAGCTAAAGTCAAATTTTGAACTGAGAATTTCTAGATGATTTTGAAAAAATGTGAATTTGAAGCAAGTTGAAAATATACATGTTTGACCTTGAGAATGTCATTGAAGTCTAAATCTGAGGTCAGATTTCAACTTCTGAGAACTTCTAGTTGATTTTGAGTCTAATAAAATGTTGGCACATATTCTATCAAATACCATTCAACATGGTAAGTCTGTGTCTGCTCATTTTTGAGATGAATGGATGTTATTATTGCATAATCTACTGTTCTAAAGATGATGGTACATAGTCTGGCTAAACGGTAAGTTCCGTTTCAATATATATTTCACAACGAACCGAATACACAAATAAATAAGTTAAAAAAAGTTTATATATAACTAATAAATGGTCTAAAGAAAACAAATATGGTACTGACCGTGCACAGGAATTTGTCTTCGAACCCTCTATATTCAGCGGATGTTTTTTCCTGCAACGTTCTTGAATAGGTTCCATTCAGTCTGATGACACTTGAAAACGCATATCCACCTAAATTATAAAACAAAATTTATTACCCGATTAGTAGGTATTATTATCAACAATCGAATCGGATTCAGACGTTCGTTTAAATTGATATTACAAGGTTTTGTTTTCCGGGCTTAAATTATTAAGATGTTATAACTATCCATGTGTTTTCTCTGACAACTTACGTTTGGCGCAGTTACTGCCAAATCTACCAGATGGACACGTGGTTCTACCGCATATATTCGACTCTGTGGTTTTAACAGTTTGTGTTGAAGTCGGATAGTCAGTCGTTGTAGTTACTGGTACAGTTTCCATGGTGGTTTGGTCAGATGGTGTGGTGATATATTTTGTTGATGCGATTGTGGTGTCAGATATTGTATTGTTTTTTAAAGTGATAGGTGTGGTTTCCTCAGTTTTGATTGTACTTTGTGTTGTACTTATAATTTCTACAGTTTGTGTTGAGACCGGCATATCTGTTGCTGAAGTCACCCGTTCACTTTCTATGGTGCTTTCTGGAGTCGCTATGGTATTATATTCTGTAGTTGTTTCTTCTGTTGCGGTGGTTTCTTCTGTGGTTATAACTGTGCTGATGCTTTCACTTGTTGCAAGAGGATGAGTTGTCACAATGTCTGTTTCAGTCTCATTCGTTGTAGGTGATATTGTTGGAATGTCTGGAATGTCAAAAGAAATTACAATAACTTGCTATCAAGACTGGAAGCATCTAGTCAAAAGAAAGTGAATTTTATTTTGAATTTCGATTCCAACCAATTATTTTGGGTCTAATTTGGTTATCTAGTTATTCCGATTTAAAAATATTGTTAATATATACTTTATTAGATTTAGAATTACCTCGTGTTCCTCCTTACCACAAGGCATATATTTATATATATTAAATATATTAACGTAAAACATACACTCAAAACATTTTTAATTAATTACATAAGTATTACCTGTTGCTGTATAAGTCACCTCAAATCCCTTTCTAACATCAGTTGAATCAGAGCTGAACCACAAATAGAGTTGATTATTGGTGCCGCTGATATTAATGGGTGGATGGTTCCCACAGAATCTTCCAATGAGAGGTGATGATACAGATGGCCCGTCGTTGATTTGTAGAAAATCATGTGTGCAGTTGGAGCCCCCATCTTCTACCTCAAAACTTGTGAAGGAAATCATCAGGATCTATTGGGAAGCATGGGACAAGTTGTAATTATCTCATTTAATAATATTAGAGCTAACCAGAATGTTAGTTAAGCCTTTAACAATCTGTTTAAGAACCCCTATTCTTACTTTTGAAAATGGATCCTATCAATACTCTCACACATGAATCTACCTGTTGAGACCCATCAACTTGAATTAATGAGAAAATGTGGATTTTGTATCGATCCCCATGCATGATTATATGATGATTTACAGCTTCTAAATCAATTGAGTATATTCCCGGACCCAGCCATGTTTAGTCAATACACCCTTGTTGAAATCTTCCTTTTCTCAAAAGAATACGAGTTTTGTGGGAATTTGTGTGGGAAATTATTGCTAAAATCCATTTTCAGTTATGAATAAATTATAAGTCCTGGGTTTGAGGAGAAATAATAGCCGAGGGCCAGAACGAATGATCTATCTAACTTAAACCCCACATCGACTCTTATTAAAGGTAAATGGCCAATGGTTTCTTTTGTATTGACTATGAGGTAAGTGTATTGAGAGGTGAGTGGGTGTTATTAGTTCAGCTTCGGTGCAATATATGTAACAGACAAGGTGCAGTTTAAAATTTGATTTATTTTGTGTTTACAAATCAAGTATTGCAAGAGTGATTATGGTGTAATTAGTTCAACTGTGTAATTAGTGCACTGTATGTGACAATACAGGTGTAAACATTGGGCATTATGATAGAGCAGAATTGTAAGCAAGAGCAGAATTGTAAATTAGAGCAGACCAATACACAGGGTAGCAACACAAATTCAACATTTCACCCGGGGTGTACGGTATTCGCGAACAATAGAGAGGTTTCGCAAAACGAATTAGCTAAAACGTATCCGCATACGTATCTCGTTACGTTTACGGATACGTATTTCGATAATTTTCGTTTCGCAGTTCGTTTTTTGAAGTACGTAATTATAAACGCATCTCAATCCGTGTTTAATAGTAGTGAAAACTAGGGTCAAATAAAAGACTTCATCTGCAATAAGATTTCAAATCACCATTGGGAGTGTCAGCTTTCAGAATCACAACTCCAAAAGTATTTTTGGTGAGTGCAAAAATACATATTATTACCACCTTGCCGGGCCAGTTCTAGGGGTTTTATAGTTCAACAAGTTAAACCCAATACCACGGCTTTCATTTATTAATCTGAGTGTTCTTGTTGCCGTGGTTGGGCCACACGATATGTCAGATAAGAAATAAGGCCCAGACTAGGTTTAACTTGTTGAACTAGGGGTTTTAGTGCTAGTTTAGAAGACGTTCATTTTACTATATCGACCTGAGAAATGTGTGACGTCATAGTGGTGGTCCATATGGACCAGCAATATTTCCCCGGGAAATTAGATATCGTTCAGATTTTCTTGCCATTTCAGCCCTGGTCGTTAACGGTCGTTTAGGGCAGAAAATATTATTTCTAGGTTTACAATAACTAATTCAGTGTCAAATTATACTTTTGGGAATATTTAAAGGTTTTAAAGGTTTGAAAACAGATAGGCTGAATACTGGTCATTACGTGACGTGCAGTGACTGCGTTATGCCACAAAATGCGTTCTAAAATCACTTGCCATACTGCACATGAACCTTTAATTTCATGTACTTGCAGCTGTATATTTTGGTAATAATTCAAGATCAAATAAGTAAAATAAATGCGACTTGGGCAAGGCCAAGGCATTCGGAAACCACACGTTTTCACATAAGCCACCCCCTTTCCTCATACATGAGCTTTAGTTGAAAACCCATGCCTCATATAAGCTAAGGAGGGGAGCAAAGTAATATATTTGATCATAGAAAGCGACACAAATATATCATTTATGCAATAAAAGTATGTTTTGTATGAGAAATCAACAAAAAATATATTAGTACTATGTAAAAAGATAAATTAGCAAGCTAACGCTTATCATACCAGTTGAATATCTCACCATCATAATACCCTACATCCCCTTTGGGGTCTACACAGAATCAACTGATGAACAAAAAACATAATACCCTAAACTGGCCATTTGTTTCTTAACCCAATAAACACAACAACCTGGTCGGACACAGCCCACAACTCGACATATATAACCTATAACAATTAAACACAACCTAGATCACCAATCATGCAACAGTACAATAGAACATAACCCAGTGTCAAAATACACAAAACGCAATAGAGGATAACCCAGCACCAATGCCGGCATAGCGCAACCTGACTTACAACCACCAAAACACAACCAACTGTCAGGTTAACACAATATGTCACAACCCAATAATAAGACAACAAAGACAAACACAACCAATTGTTGAATTAACTCAACACAATTGTGCACAATCCAACACTAAACAATAAAAACACAATCAGGCACAACCAATAAAACACAACTAAAGTAACAACCATGAAAACACATCGAACTGTGAAATTATCACCACACAATTTGGCACAACCCAATGGTAAACCAACAAAAGCAAACACAGCACATTGTTCAAGTAACACAGATCACAATTTTTCAAAACCCAAAACAAAAGAATCAAAACAAAATCAGGCACAGGCAAAAAAACACATTAAAATTGTAATACCGAGATACACAACTAACTTAACCCAATTGGAGACAACGCCAATCACACAACACAATCAGACACAACAAGATACCTCACCCGACTAGCCACAACCAGCTAGCCAACCAACATAACATATTCACAAGAGAAAACAACCCATAATAAGATTAACATAACACAATGGCACACAACCCACGACTAAATCACCAGATTAACAACCATCAAAAGAGAACTGAGTCTCAAACGTACACAACACAATTCGGCAAAACCTATACCTACTTGACACTAACCAACCATTACACAACCAGGCTTAACCAAATACTCAATTGATTTACTCAACCCATCAAAACACAATCAGGCACAACCAACGAAACGTTGATACCGATTTACTCAACTAAGTTATTCCAACTGGAGACAATCGCACAAAACAATCGGGGACAACCCGATATCTACTGAATATGTACTTGAATTACACCCCCCCCCCTTCCCTATCATCACAAGGCTGCTAATGAAGAACACATCATGGACCACTACCCAAGAGTTAGGAACATCTGGGGCCACTACCGTGACTCATGTGTAAGAGAGAAGATCCGTTACAGGATCTGGATGTCAGGCCTGTCTTTACAAAAATGAAATCGGAAATGATACGCCAATATCATCATCCTAGGATCAAAGAAATACTATAGTATACTCTACCTGTTACATAATCACTGACGGTGGTTCGGGGAAGCTTGGACACTAAGCTGTAGGGCACTAGTCTCCCTGGACCCCCAAACGAGGCCGCTTACTATTGGACATAGATCGCATGACTTGATGCGTGTTCAAGTCATACCAAGGGAAGAAGCTACCTGGCTAGAAATTTTTCAAAATCATTCAGTTTTTCATCATACTGAGCACTTTTCGGGAGTTTTAAGCCAAAAAGCCCCCCCTTGCCACAAGCTGGATACGGGCAAGAGTGATGCGGGGTGCCATCTTTAGGCCCAATATCACATTCATTGTCGAGGTCAAGACCAAGCAACTATACTCAAACTAGGCCCAAGACCCTGCTCTATATGAATTCGGAGCGTGACTTAAGGCACAAAATATATATTCATGTGGCCTAGCTGCTAACCATTGGTTTGATGTCCCAAAGAAATTGACTATGGTATTACTATTGACCACAGAAACGATAGACCTTACATCTACCTATTAGGAAATGTGACTAAAGCTTTATTCGTAAAAATTGCAGGCCCCTCGCTTATAATCAAATTTATCGGCAGATAAGGCTATTACTTCATCAAAATTAGCACGATACACATGATAACATATGTGGGTTACTAAATTTATACATTTAGGGAAAATTTTATCAAGATTTGAAGGACAAAATTGATACGGAGACAACTACGCACAGAAAGTGTTAGTTTACGTACTTTCGGTATTGCTGATGGTATCACAAACGTATTGAGTACACTTTTACACCATCGATGCGTTACGGATTTTGATACGGGTAGCTAAAACGTTGTGCGAAACATGTACACTGTAATTATTGCAATACCATTCCATACAGTGTAAAATGAATTGAACATACCATTTGAAAAACTCGATTTATTTCAAACAATAAACAAATTCATTCACCAAATTTTAGTCAAATTATACACAGTACACTGTGCTTGTTCATATAGTGATACCTTTAGAAATAAAAACAATATATTCGAAGGGTAAAATCGGTTACGTAAATGACCAACGTACAAAAGCCTCATTTTTCATGTTTTCCGTATCATTTCACGTATAAATTGAACTGACTACGCATAAATCTTGGAAATACGTTACGGATATGGATCCGTGGAGCTAAAAACCGTTTTGCGAAACCTCTCTATTGCCCCTGGAAGTACGTGTGATGTGCTATGTCATAACGGCAGACCGTAGTAATGACGGACCATAATGAATATTCGTAACATTTTGGTGAGTTTTCATGTTTGAATCGTAATATAGACCTCTGAGCAGGGGTGATATGGTCTATATTTCTTAATTAACTGTTGTATTTGAGAGAAAACACAGTTACAAAATAAGAGTACATATATATTTGTATATTGCTTTTAAATGATGGAAACTATCAAAGTCTGTTATTCGTCAATTAAAATAGTTCATTCAATCGTGTTGATACCTGCTAGTGGGGTTTAGATAATAAGAATATGGGTCTTTAAACATGACATTGGGCTTGCTTTTTTTAGAACTTTTTGCTTTTGCTGCTCCCTATATGCATTTGCATTAGACATAATTTATAAACTGGTGGTTTTTATTTGTACGTATATGGCAGCATTCAATACATTCACTTTTACTTGAAGTCCTCAGACTTTTTGAATAAGAAGAACCCTGTCGATATTTAACTATATACGGACACAAATATACCTTTTGTGTTGGAACCATTATAGACCACGCACAACTGGCGTCATTTGTGTAATTGGTGTCACTTTCAAGTGGGTAGCGGATTGACCCAATCTCCCCCTTAATGCGACCACCACATCCTGTAAGTAAATCATTCAAAACAATTGAATTGTAATTGTGTTTGGATGAATCAGATGAAGTTCACGTTTTGAGAATAATGTATCCTAACATGCATCTGCTTTATTTTCATCCCCGAAAGCATGCAGGATGAGTGAGACTGCTGATGAAGCATGTCAGTAGCCAACACTGTTAGATCATCTATGATATATTTAACAACCATGTGGAGCATAATAACATATATCGGGTGTTCCAAAAAAGTGAGCCGCTTTTTGACAATTTTCTCAGCAAAAGATTACGCGAAATCATTGAGAAATTTAATAAAGTAGTCTAAGGCTATTATTAGCAAGTGGTACAAATATGTAAGCGATCGGTCAAATGTTTTGTGAGAACTGAGAAATTCAAAAGTATGTGTCTAAAAATCCAATATCACATCTGCGCTATGAGACCATTGTAGCGTTTGTGTCAGCTATCAGGTGATAGCCTCTGTCAATAAGTTCTAGTCTCAAAATAACTTCTATGTGTGTCAGGTCTATTGATTTGTGTCATTGTTCATTGTATCCAACATCCATTCTGTCCAAATTTAAGTTTGGAGGGATTAACGATGCCTTTCGGTGAAAATGAGGTTATTATTGAAAGCTTTTCAAGGTGAAAGGATTTGGTGGAAGATGAATCGTAAAGAAAGGACAAGAGTTGAAGTCATGAAACTGTAAATAGACTTATGAACAAAAATGCACAACATCAAACCAGCATTAGACAACGTGATAATTATGTCATGGGAGCCGATATCATTGGAAGAAAAACACAAAAGTATTTTTGCTTGGAAGAAACCGCTTCTTTCAGACATAAATAAATGACTTTTCCGATGTTATTGAATATTTTTGCATGCTGGGAAAATACTTGTCAAAATGCGACTCACTTTTTGGGTCACCCGATAAATTAGGATTTATCTGGTTTGATAAAAATAGCTTATGATACAAGATATATTTTGTTTTATTATTAGTGTCTGGATGAATGAAATTTTGTTGAATTTTACTCAAATATAACTCCTTGGTAATGAAAATGTTTTGTAACCAGCAAACTAAACTCCAAATGGAGATCAGATCCTAAAGACTAACACTCTCAGCTTTCCGATGGTGTATTGGAACCTTTTGCACATTAATATGATATCAGATTTATATAATGATAATATTCACTTTGGTTTTGTAATGTCAGAAATTGCAGGGTGGTGGCGATGGGCCACAAAAAATGGTATCCCAATCAAATCTTAATGATTCATTCAATCTAATATAATCATCCAGTATGGGCTTTAAGTCATATTTGGCTAGCTGAATTGAACCTTGTTTGATGTAGGAGGTCCGATCGAATAATGGTCCTACTCCCCATTGAGTTATATGGTGACCTAAATACAACTCTTTCCCTCATTATCTTATACGCAATCGGCCAGTAAGGGCCGTTAAGAAAGGGGACCATAATCCCTGGGGGACCATCATTTCTTTCACACCGGCATTTTGAGCATGTTTTATAACATGGACATTTAGAATAGACCAATGAAAATTGGTTGAATGAGAAAAAACAGAAGAAGAATGCTCGATTTTATCAAATGCTACTTTTAATCTATATTGGATGACTGAGTTATTAAGATTTATTTGAATTTCCTTTTTGGCTCACCATGTACTCCAGAAGTATTGCATCAAATGTTGGTTTTTTGAGTATCTTTTAAAATTATAAATCCTGAATATCGACAATCTATATCAATAAAAAGCCTGGTCAAACCTGGTCAATAGATTTTACAGTATTTAAACGTTATATTTTGTAAAATGAACCTCGAAATGGAAGGGACATAATTACCTGAAGTCTTCCAAAACAATTCAAACCCCTTTCCAGCCTCATAAACATCACTAGAGAACAAGAAATATAGCTGGTTATCCGTGCTGCTGAATCGCCTGCCATCAATGGGTGACTGGGTTCCACAAAATCGTCCAATGAGAGGAGATGATTCAGACGGACCATCATTGATTTGCAGAAAGTCATAATTACAGTCCATGTCGTATTCTATGTCGAAAGAATTGAAGGACAACATGATGGTCTGTAAGGAAAATGTTTCTTTTAACAACGATATGAAATGATATGTACAGGGTCACACTATCTTTTCAGACTTGAAAAGTATAATTTGAAAAAATATGAGTATATGAGATATTGTAGTCAACAAGCTCTTTGTGCTTTCTTTCCTTCCTCCTATCTATATTTTAATAACAGTTTTATATCTTGTCATCTTAAAGCCACACACAGACATTTTACCTAGCCTATATTTTAAAACCTAAAAAAAGTAATAAATATGACACTGTACCATATGAAATGAGATAAAGAAAATATATTGTGAAATATATATATATATTCAGAAATAAAGAAAACAAGAAAATGATTTGCCATGGGCTGGATTTTAAAGTTTTAATAACACAATGATTTAGTTTTGCTCCGATTTATTCTAAAAAAATCTTTTTCAAGCTACTAAAAATAATCTTATAATCATGACATAATAAACTAAAACAATGTTTCAGAAGAATTATATCCCACATCGAAATATTGCAAAGCTAAATCATGTTGTTGATAAATACAAAAAATATATGATTAATCATATGCATCTCTATACATACATCTTTATCGATATCAGTTGCCTGTAAATTAAACCCGACAAATTAATGAAATAAAACTTCTATAAGACTATGCAAATTGTAATGTATTGAAAAATGATACTTTTCCTCTCTCTAGAACCCTTATCATACTGATTAAAGGAATTAAACCAACCAACTCACCAAGAGGAAGATGGGCCTGATACACAAGATGGCGTCTTTGGATATATTTGTTTTGAGATCAAAATGTAGTTGTTGTATCATAGAACCTTTTAGAATAAATTATAACTACGGTAGGCTACCTTGTTTGTGGAGACAGTGATATGCCATTCACAGTTTGCATTATTTTGGTAGAGATCGCCGCTGACTAATGGGAATCGAAATGAGCCATTCTCTCCAACTAGACTATTACCACATTCCAGGACATCTGCAAAACAAGCTAAATTATAAGATCTGACTCCAACTTTCGTAGCTATAAACAAAATTTTGAAACCCAATGGACCAGCACTTTTCTGAAAATGATAGCAATAAAGATTTAAACCCTATGATCATTCATAGGGTTTTGTAGGTGTTGATTTCCAAGATTTGAGACATTGCAAAATATTTTATACAATATCATATGGAATGACCTGAAAGAATATATTTTCAAGGAAACTTTTTACATGGGTCACTTCTGTTTGTGTCAGTCGGTATCATGGTTCGCCACCATGACAACAATACAACACTAAAACATTTGACCTATACGCACGTAGCTTGTTATTACTATTTATAGACTTTTACTCAAATATGAACCTACACTCCCCTCCATAAGTTTTGCAACCTTTTTTCCCACATTGAACTACGTGTTAAAGCCTCTTTACCTTTGAATTTTTATTTACTTAACCTGCGATGAAAATACTTAAACTATTGATGGGAACGTAATTTGACCTTAATTCCAATACCTCCAAATCTTCTCAATTTTTTCCTCAATTACAATAGGTCGAAAATTGATGATAAATTTGATGAATATTTGAAAATCGACATTCCCATCTTAACCAATGGGAAATGGTAGGTTTGCCGCAAGTCATATGACAGAATATCCATCCATCCGAGTCCTTGCAAAAAATATGAGTTAGGCAGGCAATTGAATTTGCTAACTTTATTTAACAAAAAATTGATATGTTTCTTCAGGTTCAACAAAGTTATAGGGCTTTAAAGTCAAAATTGTTTTTCAAAAAACCTCTCCCATTGAAATAACACAGGAGGCGAAAAATTATTTTCAAAAATGATTTTGAAGCGCTGTAACTTTAATATTCATCAAATAAACTAAACACTCAGTGTTCAAAATAGTAAGACAATTCAATTTTCTATATAAAAATATTTTTTGCTGAATCTTTTACTGAAAATATATCCTGATTTCTGATTTGTCCCGAACCCTCCATTTCCCATTGGATTACATGGGAATGACGATTTTACAAAAATTCATCAAATTTATCATAAATTTTCGACCTATTGTAATTCAGGAAAAAAATTAGAAAATTTGGAGGTATTGGAAATAAAGTCAAGTTACGTTTCCATCAATATAATAACTTATTTCATCGCCGGTTAAGTAAATAAAAATTCAAACGTAAAGAGGTTTTAACACGTAGTTCAATGGGGAAAAAAGGTTGCCAAACTTATTGAGGGGAGTGTACATATATCTGCAGTTTATCGCTGACATTAGTTTCAATAGAATCCAGAAGGAGTCACCTTGGGTGAATTGTTGGTTATATAATGAAATTGAGTTACGTGAAATAGCGTGTTCTGATTGGCTGGTATTGGACACACCTTGCCTAGCTATGTTTGACTGTGAATATCCTATAGCTGCGTCACATTAAGTATTTACTTAAGGAATAAAGAATCCTGCATCACTCTATATTGGGAATACAAAAGCATGAGGGAATGTACTAATCAATGCACCTTATACATGCTCGAATGGTTTTATATCCAAGATGCAAGATTCTTTATTGCAATTCAGAAATGACCCTGGCCAATGATGAAGTAAACATAAAAAAACATTTATTGAGATTATGTATGATATGTCACTGAATCAAGTGTGTTAGTCTCACAAGTGTATCATCGGTTTTTGTTTTGGTTTGTGTGAAATGGATGTCATGGTGATGAAATTCTTGTCAGTGCTGCCCTAGTTTTAAACCTTGCAGTTTATGCTTTTGACTAGTTTATGTTTTAGAAATACTAAATAGGGTCGGTGAGTTACATTATAAATGTACACTCCCCTCCATAAGTTTGGCAACCTTAGCTCCCCCATTGAACGACGTGTTAAAGCCCCTTTACGTTTGAATTTTTATTTACTTACCCTGCAATAAAATTACTTATGATATTGATGGAAACTTAAGTTGACTTTATATCCAATATCCCCAGATTTTCCCAATTTTTTCCTCAATTACAATAGATCGGAAATTGATGATAAATTTGATGAATTCCCATGTAAACCAATGGGAAATGGTGGGTTCGGGACAAATCAGAAATCAGGATATCTATCCAGTAAAAGATTCAGCAAAAATAGTTTTTATATAGAAAATTGAATTGTTTAACTTTATAAATTATTATAATCTGTATCACGTTTTCACCTGCGGAATATGTCATATTCACCTGCTGTATATGGCATATTCCGCAAGTGAGTATGACATATTCTGCAGGTGAGTACTGGGTATTCACTGAAATCAATGTATCGCATATTCACTGCGGAATATCGCGTACTCACCTGCGGAATATGCCATATACCGCAGGTGAGTATGGCATATTCACCCGTATCACAAATACCGCGCAACCATGAATGTATGCCATATGCCACGAACCGGTCCGTCTTCTCGCTGCAAGCAGGAGGAAATTTTTTGTCACAAACTTTTTTATAAAATCAAACGCGCGTCATTGAAACTCACAAGATGTAAATAGCATGTCATTTACATCATACCTTGATGGGGAAAAATAGATCTTATATGTTAGAAGTACTTAATAAAAGTTATCGTGAAAATGAGACAGTCGTTCTCGAGAGAAAAGAGCATAAATGCGCATTTAGAGAGTTTTGGTCCGTTTAAAAATCTTTAAAAAATTGGGGTACTTAAAAGCATCGGGAGGCATCATATATTTCAAATTAGACACGAGGAAGTCAATACTGAGCAAGTTATGGCTGTTTTAAATTCAAATAAAACCGTTAACCCGTACCGGTCCAGCTTTTGACCCGTACCGGTCAATTTTCGTTAGCTGCGTATACCACGGGTGTATACCATATAGACATAAAACTAAGATAATTTCTAACGAACTTCAAATACTCCACACTATATAAACACATTTTACCTGCTGCTGTATAGGTCACCTCGAATCCCTCTCCGACATTACTTGAATCAGAGCTGAACCACAAATAGAGCTGATTATTGGTGCTTCTGACATTAATAGGTGGGTCGCTCCCACAAAACACTCCAATGTGAGGGGATGATATAGACGACCCGTCCTTGATTTGTAAAAAGTCATAATTACAACCCCCCTCTTCCATATCAAAACTTTTGAAGGACAGCGTCACCACCTATGGAAAAACATGTGACAAATTGAAATTATCTTATTTCATGAAAAACGGTAGGCGTAAACTGGTATTTTTTAAATTTATATATCAGGGCATTCCATAAAGTCGTTTTTATTTTACTATTTTCACTCTTGGAATAAGAAACATTTCAGTGATATGCAACTAAAACTAAGTATCAACAAGTAAATGCACCTTATGTGCTGGAACTGTTATAGCCCACGCGCAGCTGGCGTCATTTGCGTAATTGGTGTCGTCTTCTAGTGGGTAGCGGAATGTGCCATTCTCCCCATTTAGGCGACCACCACATTCTGTAAAACAATATTCAAGACGAATCAGTTATATGTTACGAAGAGTAAAATCTGTCAAACTTAAACACCACTGGGAATTCCCAAGAAATAGAGAGATTTGGATAAGATCTTAAGTTTTTTTGTTTTGTTTTAAATGTATCAACATCATGCAGAACAGACTGAAGCTGAGTTACCAGAGTGATGAATCTACACAGAAAGACTGGAGCCGTTTCTATTATTATGAGTATTAGGCTAAAATTCAATACTTTCTAATTGTTTCTACATGAATACTCATCCATAATTGAATGAAATAATTTCTCTATAAATGGTAGGTATAGTAAATCTGAAGAATATGAAAAAACAAGTTAATTCTAACCTATTGGACACGCTATTACTCAATATATTCAATATTATACAATTTGACTATTTACCTGAAGCCATCCAGGACACATCAAACCCCTCCCCAACACCAGAAAAATCACTAGAGAACAAGAAATATAGCTGGTTATCCGTGCTGCTGAATCGCCTGCCATCAATGGGTGACTGGGTTCCACAAAATCGTCCAATGAGAGGGGATGATTCAGACGGACCATCATTAATTTGCAGAGAGTCAAAACAATATGGTTCCATGCCTTCTATGTTGAAACTACCGAAAGACAAAACGATGGTCTGTAAGGAAAATGTTTATTTTAACAACGAATCTAATTCAGGGCTTTCATTGCAAGAAGTTACATGTAATGTTCTCGGATTCTCTCCTTTGGTGATGTAATATGATAACACTGATTATGGGAATTAAACTCATAGAATACTCATACAATTAATCTCATAGACCAACAACAACATTGACATGGCACACAAGCTGCCGATGTTGAAGAATGGCACAGAATGAATTAATGATATATATAATGATATATTAATCATATATCTATCCAAAACGAGGCTGCAACGCGGTTAATACACAAAATGGCGACTTCGAAGAGGTTCAAAATGACGGTTTTATCTATCAGCTATATACATCAGTGTGTGTCTGCTACAGTTATAATAACATTTATTATTCGGTGGAGAACTTTACAGAGTATGTGTATGTAATCAAAAATGTAATCACCTGGTACTTGATTGACTTATTACACAAAAATATTTCTTAGCTAGTCGGAAGTCTTATGATCTATTGAGATTAAAATGTAGTTGCTTGAACATCACGGCGATAGTCGTCAGTTGACATTCTATTTTACTATCTCCGAACAAGCTCACCATGGACAGAGGTAACAAGTTCCAAATATATCTATCCAAAACGAGGCTGCAACGCGGTTAAGACACAAAATGGCGACTTCGAAGAGGTTCGAAATGACGGTTTTATCTATAAGCTATATACATCAGTGTGTATCTGCTACAGTTATAATAACATATACCATTCGGTGGAGAACTTTACAGAGTATGTGTATGTGCAGCTTCTTGAAATATAGTCAATTGGGGAAATATATTCTGGGTGCACAAAGTCAGTCAATGGCTGAAATTTGACAATCGGGGCATTTTTGTTGCTTTAATTCAGTGTTTTTGACTTTTTCACTGGACACATATCTGTAAAACCACGTATACACCATGGCAATTTCTTCAAAGTGGGATCACTGTTTGCCTTTTGTTTCATTGGAGAAAATAGTTACATTTTTGGCATAAAAGGACGCATTATTTGGTGTTAAATCGTTGGAAACGCATTCCTTCTGTCTGGGCAACTCAAATCTGTGCAGATATCATCATACTCAGTTCGAAAGCTTTTCTGACATCATCATTTTCGAAAAGAAAAAAGCAATACATGTATATGGTCGAATTAATATAACTTTAGCAGTCAGAGTGCCTCCCAAGACCGCTGGTGCAGTAACAAAGCATATCATGCAAACACATCGAAGCAGGCTATGAACATCTATGACTGTTCATATCCTGCTCTAGGATCGTCATACTCAGTTTGAAAGTAAGAAACATAATGACAGCTTGTTCGAAGATAATCAAAAAGAAGACCATTCGACGACTATCCTCCGCGTGATCAGATAAGGAATATTAAAAAAAGAATTCATAACATACCTTGCCTGCAGGGACAGTGATAGTCCATTCACATTTTAAATCATTTTGATAGGTAGTGCCAAATGCTGGGAATCGATATGACCCACTGTCTCCAACTCGACTAGTGCCACATCCCGAGACATCTGTAATGCATGCTTGATATAAGATCTTAAGCCTAAGTTGCGAATACAACTTTAGTGTCTATGATTTTAGTGGTGTCTCATCATATTTACATCATTACTTCATATTCACTCCCAAAATTAAACAGCCTTTAAGGACCCAAGATCATGTTTTCAAGTCAAACATTACAGAGAAAAATTCCTGTCTTATGAGAATATAAACATTATCATTTCTGTAGCATACCAAGCGACTTCATATTACATTGATTTAACTTATGGTAGTCGTGTGATCATATCAAAATATAATAGACCTACTGTAACGACGCTGGGTTGTTACTTTTCATAATTTATGCCCAGTTTAATTACTTCACACATTTGAAAATGCAATTACTAGTATTTCAATTATTTCTAGGGTTTTAAAGGTCATTTCAACTTTTCATAACAATTTCATCTGGTGCCAAAAAATTTTGCCTAGATTTAATCAGCCAATCAGAGCAGTGTTTACAGAAGCATTTAGGGAAGAATACTTGAAACACATGAAAAGTCCCCATTTGAAGATAACCAGCACATAACATATTGATTTAATCTTTCATCCAAAAATGTTTTCGGTGCACAAGCAACTTAAACATTCGTATTAGACTGAAAATGCAGTGGCTAAATGTTAAATATTTGAAAGAAGATCGAATAGTCGAATAACTAACTGCCATTGAATGTTGAGACACCTTAACAGACGTACAAATATGGCATTTAAAATAAATGATATTCTCTTACATGATATATCCCACACATGATTCTTTGGGTATTACCTCTAACTGAATAAGTCACCTCGAATCCCCCTCTAACATTAGTTGAATCAGAGCTGAACCACAAATAAAGCTGATTATTGGTGCTGGTGATATTCACTGGTGGATGGCTCTCACAAAACCTTCCAATGAGTGGTGATGATGCAGATGGCCCATCGTTGATTTGAAGAAAATCACTTAAAGTGCAATTGGGACCACCGTCTTCTATATCAAAACGCGTGAAGGACAGCATCATGATCTAGGGGAAAATATGAAATAATTGCAAGTTGCAATTATCTAATTTAAAGATCTAATAGTAAAGGTATCGCCAAAATAAATCAATGTAGTATAAAACAAATGTATGTATAATAATGAAATAAATATCATGAATGAAAAAGTAGATATGTGTCATATTGGTATTAACTTAATTAACTTAAGATTAAAAATTGTCACTTTCATTTTTCAACAAATATAGGGTCACGTGACACGTGGCGGGGTCAGTCAATTTTGATCTATCGTAGACCATATCACCATCAAATTGCAGATATTTCAACCTCGTCTTGCGAGGCCATTTTAGTCAATACAAAAGAAATCAATTTTTCCTAAAATTTGATCATGGACCATGCGCCCTCGGTTATTATTCTTTCTAAAACCCAACACTCATAGTTTATCCCTAACATATATGGCAGTGTTCTATATCATTTTTACTTCGTGTCTTCTAACTCTTTGATATTCAGCTGAAACCAGGTTTCAAAAGCAAATAAATGTATACCTCATCTATTGGAACTGTGATGACCCAGGCACAGCTGGCGTCATTTGTGTAATTTGTGTCACTTTCTAGAGGGTAGCGAAATGACCCAGAAAGCCCATTTAGGCGACCTCCACAAGCTGAGGATAAAACAGGAATAAGATTGATATGTTATACTATTAACAACTTACAAACCATTGAAAAAATGAGATCATATTATTGTGATAAACCTGTTTAAAGTGCCCGATAAAGTATAAAATGCGCATGCGTCCAGGTGTTGATAAACTATAAATAGCGAAAACCCAGGGTTTGTCACCACAAGGTAAGCCAGGACGTGTTGAGAGAACAGCTAGTGTTGATATTGAATTTATATGTAGCCAGATAAGTTTCCTTATTGAAATTACATATGGTTATTAGCAATACTTTGTAGGTGCTAAATAATAAAATATTTAGAGTATATATGAGAGAAATTGGTCATTTCGAACCTGTTGAAAAGTTTGTGGCTCTCGGCTACACCGGGGAATTTACTTCCATGAGTACACACATAAATGTGGGGTTCCCCAAGAGGTACGCGACAAGGTGACCTGGCATCAAATGTGCGACTAAATGCTACTATCGAGAAGATAAAATAACGAATACGACAATAAGTTATTGCATGTGACAATTCCGAGCCTTCATCTCACTGAAGTATTTTGAAGTGAAAATAGGATTTTTGTTTTCATACATGGATTCAGATGAACGTAACTTTATTCTGACAACTAATCAAAACTGAACAAAATTGATTGTACGTAACAGACAATTTATTGTTTTACAATGTTTTGATTGGCTAAACGAATGAAACCAACAAATTATGACATGTAAAATGACAATTTTGAAATGTAAAATTTAAAAGTGACAAACACAACCTCCCTATCCACTCTTTGGGAGCCCTAGTAAATTAGTAATATGTACATGCAGCAGTGGTAGTGTGCAGCTTATTATCACACTACGCTTTGTATTCTAAAGCCTGTTGTTTGTAATAACACTGTTCACTCAACGTATGTTTTGTGTGTGGGCAGTCAACGATAATCATTGTTTTATCCCGGTTATATGACCTCGGCAATTATAACAAAACCGTACTAAACGAAAAAACGCAAATAAGAGAAAGCTTTCACACACATATAAAAAATGAACTAGTCTAATCCGCCAGTATAAACTCTGTGCTATACGTAGCCGGGTCAGGCGCACACTTTAACCAAAAAAGCATGGTAACGTGTTTCAAATGAGTTCATGTGTCATAAGAAATAACACAAGAATTGTGATTTCATTTTTCTAATATTTCGAATCCTGAATCTCATCAAATTATGTAAATAAAAAATAAACGGGAGAAACGTTTTAATTATAGTAACATACAGTTGGTATAGCACAATAAGCTTAAGTCTTTACCTGAAGCCGTCCAGGACATCTCGATCCCCTCTTTAACCACAGAAACGTCACTAGAGAACAAGAAATATAGCTGGTTATCCGTGCTGCTGAATCGCCTGCCATCAATGGGTGACTGGGTACCACAAAATCGTCCAATGAGAGGAGATGATTCAGACGGACCATCATTGATTTGCAGAAAGTCATAATTACAGTCCATGTCGTATTCTATATCAAAACTATTGAAGGACAATATGATGATCTGTAAGGAAAATACTTATTTTAACAACGTGTCTGATGTAGGATAAATTGATACAAATAGTACCGTGGGTACTGGGCTCACATGGTGTTGCTCAAAAGTGAATTATGGCTAAAATGGCAGAAAATAAGAAAAATGGATGTCTTTTTGCCGATTTTTTGTCACAAAATTATTTCATACAACTACTCTTTACAGTGACATGGCTTTTTACAATGCAGGACACCTGAAATTAATTATTGTAACGCTAGAAAATGGGCCATAAATGAATTTCGCGAGACAAAAATGGCTACCATTTTGTAATTAAAGAAACAAAATAACTTAAAACGGGAATCCTATTGACAAAGGTTTTAAAATTGGCCAATTGTTGATTGACAGACGGACAGACAGACGGACGGACGGACGGACGGACAGACAGACGGACGGACAGACAGACAGACAGACAAGCGAGTGATTGCAATAGCTCACCATGTGAGCTAAAAAGACCAAATAAAGACAAGATACAAATAAAATTAATGAGGTTTACGTTGATTGCTCTCAAAGGCACACAAACAGATATTTTGGAACGACCAAATTAAAAATAAATCATAACATACCATGCCTTCGGAGACAGTGATATTCCATTCACAGACTACCTTATTTTTGTAAGTGGTGCCAACTTCTGGTGGAAATCGAAATGACCCGATGTCTCCCAATAGATTGTAACTGCATTCCGGAGCGTCTATAATACATTCTTACGATCAGATCTTAAGATCTTAATTATTTATAAGTATAAATAATTATTATTACTTATTATAAGTATAGTGGCTACTATCAAATCTCCAAAACTAAAGGTCTAGAATGGGCTAACAAATTTTTGAAAAGTTTTGAATGATACTATCCATTAGCTGGTTACATTCAGTATTCAATTTATCTCAAATCGTTAGAGTGATCTCAAAATAGAGTTAGAAAGAGGAACATTTCAGAGTACACCGAAGTAAAATACGTATTGTTCTCTGTTGAAACAGTACAAGTACAATAAACAGTCAACTCTTGGATTTTATAATTAGCAGTTTTAAAGAGGACGTAGAAATTGAGGTTATGTAGGACAAAAGAATGGATGGTCACAACATTAAGATAGATGATGGGATAAAAACGTTGATATTGAAATCAAAGAAAATTTAGAACTTGCATGACGACAATAAAGATGCAACTCTTGTTTGTTTATTTATTTATTTTGGAATAACTCAATTCATGGAATCTTAAGTTTCTAGTAACATACCGGTGAGACATACTGATGTCATATTTGGTTGAACAACCCATTCTCTCGTAGAGTTTATATATGTTTCCCAAGCACCAGATACGCCATCTGCCGATAACGCATTGTCCTGAACACGTATTGCGTCCCTCTGAGGAAAGCCCCAGGTGTTCCACAAATATGTTGTATGATCAATGGGCACGTTGTACAGATAGCCTGTGTGGCTCTCGTGGATATACACTGGCCTTCTGTTATAGAGTGGACCATACAATGTGTAGATCCCAAGCATATATTTAGGTGCAGTGCCCCCCATCAGTGTGACATTACTACAGGTCTCTTCTGAACCTAGAAGACACATACAACACCATTTTAGTTTGACTAATAAGGTCGCTCGGTCGCTAATATAAAAATAACATATCGGGTAATTTACAGTAGGGATTTTGTTCAAGAAGGTGTGAAAGCATACTAATGAAAAGTACATGAAATATTTATAATTTCAGTAATTTCTGTAATCGCAAAACGGGCTAAATCTGGCTGTAGTCGGGAAATACTTGTGTATGTTTAACATAATTAGCTACTTCGCTCATGAACAGTGTTCAATACGTCCATCCCATTCACACTTCGTTCAGTTGTCGCTGTGATCACGTATAGTAATTCCAATTGATACCCGATTGCACAACGTCGTTAACGCGTCCATAGTAAGGTCATGAGAACGTTCATGAAGTTCGTAAATAGACCTTTGAAAGTTGCAGCTACGTTCATTCCGTTTGCACACAGTAAGCAGTTTTAATACGTTCTTAATCAGTTTAAACCCGTTTGCAATTAGTTCTACCTCGTTTTCAATACATCCTCAGACAGTTCACCTCGTTGTTAAAACGTCCCTAGTATGTATGTATGTATGTATGTATGTATGTATATATTTATTGCCCTTTATATAAAGGAGATACATGTATACACATTATGTTAAATTGCAATTGAAAATAATCACTATTTACAAACAAACAATGTCGTTGCTTTTTAACTGACGACGACGCCTAGCTACCGCGTAGACGCACGCCGCCGACCAAGATTGGCCTAACACCTAATTGTAACGCAATTATAAAAAAGTAACTATATTTTACAAACACTCATTGCTTTGTTCCTAGTAGGATTGAAGTACGACGGTTCCGTTCGTAGTACGTCCAGCTCGTCGTTAGTACGTTGTCCCACGTTCTAATTGTAGAACGTATCGACCCCGAGAACATTTTGAGCATGTTCTAAGTTCAAGAGGACCTACCTGTTCGAGTACGTTTGATGAAGTTTGTAAATAGACCCCAAACGGTTCTAAGTACGTCCAGTCCGTTCGTACACAGTTGAAGCCCGTTTTCGAGAACGTAGTGAAAACTAGTTTGGTGTGATAGTAGGGTTACAAAAATATAGTATTGTCAGTGCCTTTCCCATAAACTTACCAAAGTAGCACTCAAGAACTATCGCTTTGCCTGATTCCACCGTCCACGTTTTTGATAGTTCTACTGGGTTTGTGATGATTGTTGTAAATGGTGTGGTTATAGTTTCATTCTCTGATACAATACTCCATTTATTACCATCAATCATGCTTATTGTGACTTCTCCATGTGTTGTAACTTTTTTGTAGATCGCTGCACCATTTGAATCGTTATTCACAAAGCTATAGGTTCCTAACAAGTAACCACGTGGTCCATTATGTAAGAAGCCACTTAACCAAATAGTGTCACATATAGCGGAGCATGAAGAAACCAAATCTGGTTCGGTTATCCAAATTTTACCATTGAAGGATTCCCAAACCTCTGTCACATTCATTGGCTCCAATGCTGAACTAAGTACTCGTATGCCTGGTTGAGTAGTGTCCCCGATAGATGACCCCGTAAGCCAATATCCACTGTCATAAAACATGAACACTGGCTCAAGTAGGTGTTTGTAAACTGGTCTGGAGTTCCATGGCATCGACTGCAATTTGAAGATTCCTGTTCGCCATCGTTGATTGATGGAAAATATCAAACCTGATATTTTGAGACTTTCACATGGAAGACTATCAGCCCCTAAAAATAACACACATAGATGATACTGGAGAACGTTAGAAATCAGATTAGGAATAGGCTTGTCCATTTAGATATTCTAACAAAATTTGATAGTAAGGGCAAGGGTGTTAATTGTTAACCACTCTTTATTTCAGAAAAATCTGAAATGATTATTGTCTTTCAATTACTAATGAAAATGCCAAAAAGGCCTGATCTCCGAGGTCTTCATGTTATTTTCTTACTTTTGACTATATACATTGAGCAAGCTGAAGGGAAAGCTGACCCCTTGTTTGCTCAATCTCACGTTGGTAAAAGTTTACCTGTATTGGATTAAATTGATCGGTATGCAAAACTCTGCAATTGCAAATAGCAAGGGTTGGGGTGGAGTTGGAAGAAATTAAAGCTTATGTTCCTTTGATTTTCTGCCATTGGGACATTCAAAGATAAAGATAAAATAGTTAACGTCACTTAGACCATATCATAGTTATTTAGTACTTATAGATTGAAAACTACATCTATTTTAGCTTCAGTTTTGTCTTCATTTTAAAGTTTACGTGAACCTAATTGTTTTTAATTTCATCGGCAGCTATCTAATTCTTTGTACATGTGTTATGTTATTCTAACTGTTGAATATTATAAAATCTAAATAAAAATAAAGTTTTGTAATTTGTTCTTTAATTCGTTGGTTTGTTCCACCTCCCACTTTCCTAAGGGCCAGTCAACAGCACGTTAAACACGAGGCCATTAACTGTTAATGGCCTCGCCCGGGGATTGATTTAGTGGCTGTCTGTTAACCCCAGACTACTTCACACAGTTATGTCAGCATTTAACTTACTTTTCTTTGAAAAATATTGTAGTTTGAATCTATTATAAGAACTGCCTGATACATTCAATCTTTTATTTGAACGCAGCAGAATCATCATCTGGTTTCCTTGTGACACAAACGTTTCATTTGGAGTCACACCACAGCAGAATCTAAAAGAAAAATAAATTGCCAATAAAAGTGACTATGAATGAAGATGAAAATTAAAATGAACACAAAAGCAGACGAACTTTATCAATAATAATTTGATTATACAATAAAGCTTGCTAGGGTGAACATTTCTGAATGCGGAACACCTCGTAAATGAAACATTTTTTCAAATTCTTGTTTTTAAAACCCTTTGACTAAAGGTTTTCCAAAAGTATATGAAGATAGAATACCTCAATATTTGTAGTGATTGGGATGGGATATAGGATAATAGTAGTAAAATACCTACCTTGGTCCTGTATGCTGTAAATCATAGTATCTGACTTCGACCCAGTCAGAAGCACAATCTAAATTTTCCGTCTCATTGGATATACAGTTAATACTAAAGTCTCCAATAAATGAGGCTGTTATCTGGGAACCTTTATTCGCCTATTAACACCAGAAAATACAAAAGATGTAAAATATACAATATTGAGCGTGTAATATATGGTGAGCAAAATTTGGCAATAACTTTTTTAATAATGCAGTTTTTTTAATATATTTGATACAGATAGATAGGGATTACTTTTGCAATTGTTCTTGAAATGGGATGACTAAACAAATAAGTCAAGTTTCAAATAAAAATACCAACTTGACGCTTCATTTAGTATGTCAGAGGGAGATTTTGGATAGGGGGTTCATATTCATATATTGCATATTCTGAATTTATTTCCAGATAGAAAATCAAAAACGAATAGTAGAAGGATCATAAGACATATTACTGTCAAGTAGTAAGTCAAATACAAACTGCCACGGCTTTAAGAAAAAAGGTGTTTGTGAAATATGCCTGTACAAGGGAAACTTTCGAGATCGTATTTGTGGTGATAAAGATCAATGCTGTCCCTCTACAAATAATGGGAGCAAGAACAAGGGCTGTTTAAGCCTTCAATTACCTGCAACAGCGCGACAATAATCAGCTGTGAAAAAGAAATTGTTGCATTTTAGCTTTGTTATTGTTATTTCTATTGATGAGTACTAATAAGTATAAATTAACGTGTGCAACCAAACAGTGACATGCTGCTCTTTTCGCAAATGTCCCTCTTAGATGATGAGTTCGTATGATGTTAAAGCAAATGTTGCTATCTATAATATGATCATAGGATTTTATGAGATACACGTTCATTCTGATCATTCTTGTACTTACTGTTAAGAGCCATGTACACGATGTAGCATTGGTGTATCCAAGATTGTATGAGGGTGTCATTAGTGTTTCTATTTGTGTAGTCACATTCAGCTCGCCTCCGCATACCCCTATTAACAAACGTAACATTCTTAATATATTCCAAATTATGATATATCACATTACAAAATAGAACACAAATGATGACGCATTTCATATTACAGTATGCATTTTATGCATATTATTTACAACATCAACATATGATCCTAACGAACGAAGTCTGTCCGGAGCATAACGCAAATAATGTCGATCAATTTTTTCATATATGGGGGAAATATGTATAATTGTGAATAGTTTTACGCAAAAAAATCAAGATGGCTGCCGCTTTAAAAATTGTGTTACTTTTGTGTGAAAGGCTAAGGGCAACAGAGATCAGAGTAGATTGTATCGTTTATTGATTTCTGAAATGGCCGGCTTATGTGGGACTAATTTTCAGATCTCTTAAAACATGGCTATGTTATACTCAAATTGAAGGAGTTTTAGAGTTGATCGCAATTATGGTGTTGTTTTTCTGATTTGTTCCTCGGAAAATTCAAAATGGCTGCCTAGAGCAAGAATTTGCTATTACTTAGGGATTTCTTTGAAGTATGGTTACATAATACTATATTAGATCTCAAATATTGTAAAATTAGCTTTATGATTCATGCCTTTAAAAGTCCCAATTAGACACCAAACTGCTTAAATCATTTGAAATTCTGATATATCTCTAGTGTTTGTATTTTATCTGCCAAATAATCAAGGTTAAAGTAGATGGTAAATATTACATTGTGACATGTTTCATGAATTTAGTGTTCGTTGGTGTTTGCCACTGCCGATGTTTAAAATATCAGCTGAGATTTTAGAATGCTTTTTCCTTTTTACTCAATTAGATCACAAGAAGAAGACATGATATAACCTAATGAGATCAAAGTTGCATACCATCAGCAGGTGAGCTAATTATATTGCATGTAGCTCCGGTCCATCCATCCGGGCATTTACATACGTCACAATTACTGGGGTCCCTATATCCTCCATGCTGACACTCAGTCCAAACTAGCTTTATATATTCATTGCAGGAACCTTAAATACAATTCAAAATTTAGAGGACAATGAAGTCATGTTACATTTCAAAAAATACCAGTAAGGTGTCCGGTAAGTCTGTTCTATCTTTCGGATACCACTAAGGTGAAATATAAATGTTTATACTTATATGGTCGTAGAATAAAGGCCAAAATGATTTTAATTCATAATTTACATACTCATGACACATGTTGTTGTCATATATGGTTGGATAGTCCAGTCTAGAACTGAGTATGAATATGCTTCCCATTCGCCCGTTATACCATCAGCTGTCATAGCAGTGTCCTGGACACGTAATCTACCATTTTCAAGAAACCCTGACTCGATCACACCAATAGTATCTGCATTGTACCATAACCGTGTCGCCTGATCAATGACCACATGGAACAGGTATCCAATACCACTCTCATGAATGTAGACAGGTCTTCCATTGTACAAGGGACCATATAATGAATAAATCCCCTGTCTTGTTTTTTGGTCAATACCACCAGTTAATCTCACGTCACGACATGTGTCTCCAGGGCCTATTGAATATAAAGATAATTACAACACATACTTTCATTACAAAATGGCTTTAGCTGTGCAAAGTGAAATTCTTAATGAAAAATAAATGTCTCTATTTGTCTCAAGGTTCCAATACACCATTGGGAGGCGAGAGTGTCAGCTTTAAGGATCTGCCCTGCTTTTTGAGGTGAGGTGAAATTAAGAAATGAATCATTTTTACACGGGCGTGCACAATATGAAATAAGGAGCGATCCCAGTGAATACTTTCTTAAAGGCCCCATATAAAGTTTAAACCACTTTGGCTTATATTGTAGTCTTACCCAATGTTATCAAAGTGTGATATGTGAAACTTTTTTTTTAAATTTCAAAAAGTGGTTTTTGATAGACTTTTTGTTCCAAAATTTGTGAATTTATTTAAAACCAACTTTTAGAGGTCACTCATATCTTCTAATTAGCCACAATTCATACCAATGCATAGTATTCATCCTCCCATGTTTTTTGCCGAAAAAATTAAGAAAATCGGTTCATAAATAAGCGAGAAATGAACTTATTAGTGCATGAAAATGGTTCTGAGAAAAATGCATTTCAAAATTTGAGTTCTCATAGAAACCAATGGTACAATGATATCTAAAACATAATTTATTCTTCCTTTTAACCTGGTTAGACAATCAACATTGTTTTTTATAAAAGTCTAACATATTTAGAAAAGATTGACATCGAAAAAAAAATTTCAATTTTTTTCAAAAAGTTTTTGGTACCTTAGTGACATCACTAATGTTTCAAAATATTTTTGATATGTTACAACATTGAAGTGGCCCATTAAATATGGCATTTTATTATTGAAATAGTGTGTCCTTTGTTCAACCTTTGGATTGGTGTTCAAAAGATAATCTTTTTTGAAATGCATTAAGAAATATTTGATGATTAAGAAATTTCAACTTTTTTTGAAAAATGGCGGGAAATTTGAATATTTGAGAAATGAAATGCTCACAACTTTTTTTTCAAAATTTTTTTTTTGTTCAAAAATCTCTAAAACCACTTTTTAAGTCCTGACAAATAGTAAATGAATGATAAAACAATATTTTCAAACTTTAGACGGGGACTTTAAGTGTAACATGTCAGAAAGACATTTGGTAAAACATATATTTTCACATAAAACCACCCTCCCATCCTCAACTATGTAGAGAATAATAGTTACACAATTGGTCATGGCGAGAGACACAAATGTGTAAGTTACAGTATTGAAATGCATTCTCATTTTGTAAACGAAAGATGAACGAAGATGATGTTAAAAAGAAAGGCATTATTTTCACATATTTTGTGATCGCTTCAAAGATACTCTGTTAACATAACCATTGAGTTCAAATATTCAACTATTCACTAGCATGTTTTTAGGACACTATTCAGCTATTATGATCATTTCATAGTTTTACACCTTGGAGATGAAAGAGCTTATTTTTCGAGTTTGTTACCAGAAAACCTCCAAAAGCAGGTCAAATACCTTAAAGCAGACTCTCTCCCTTCAAATGGTGTATTGAAAAAGTGGCACCTGAGTACTTATTTGTTTTGCCTGATCAAACACATTATGAATGATAGTTGGTGTCACAATTATACTAGCTAGCGACTGGATACTAGACAATATTTTCAATATTTTGTAAACAAGAATCTTGATGCTATTGTACATGTGATATAAAGGTCCATATTTTTCCTCTAGAATCTTTTTTCAATTCCTTTCATACTTACCAAAGTAACACTCAAAAACTATTGAACCAGATGCCACGGTCCATGTGTTTGATATTTCTACTGGATTCGTTATCTTTGTTGTAAATGATGTCGTTATAGTTTCAAACTCGGATACAATACTCCATTTATTGCCACCAGACATGCTTATTGTGACTTCCAAATGTTTTGTAACTTTTTTGTAGATCGGTGCACCGTTTTGATCATTGGCTACAAATGTGTAAGCTCCTAATATATAACTATGTGGACCTCTTCTTGAAACGCCACTCAACCAAATAGTGTCACATAAAGAAGAGCATGAGGTAACAAGACTCGACTCAGCTACCCACGTTGTACCATTAAAAGATTGCCAGACCTCTGTTACGTCTTGTGGTTGCAATGCTGAACTGAACACTCGCATCCCCGATTGAGTTTCCCCAATAGTTGATCCTATGAGCCAATACCCACTGTCATGAAACATGAACACTGGCTCAACTAGGTGTTTGTAAACTGGTCTTGAGTTCCATGGCATCGACTGCAGTTTAAACATTCCTGTTCGCCATTGTTGCTTTCGGGATTGCGACAAACCAGACAATTTTAGAGTTCCGCAGGGACGCCGACCAACCCCTTGAGAATAATAAGAAATTAAAGCGTCCATTCAATGCATATTCAGATATTAGCGATATTCTACTAATGCTCTGTAAAATGATACGACTTTGTAGCTTCGTAGCATGGCAGAATTGAACATGATTTACCATTTCTGGTCTATTTATGTCAGAAAATATGTTCTTTTAGATAAAATGTGGACTGAGCTATCTATAAAATTCTAACATACAAATGGTCTGGCTTTAATAAAGCATTAATAAGTTTTAAGTTTAAAGTGCCCGATAAACTATAAAATGCGCATGCGTCCAGGTGTTGATAAACTATAAATAGCGAAAATCCAGGGTTTGTCACCACAAGGTAAGCCAGGACGTGTTGAGAGAACAGCTAGTGTTGATATTGAATTTATATGTAGCCAGATAAGTTTCCTTATTGAAATTACATATGTTTATTAGCAATACTTTGTAGGTGCTAAATAATAAAATATTTAGAGTATATATGAGAGAAATTGGTCATTTCGAACCTGTTGAAAAGTTTGTGGCTCTCGGCTACACCGGGGAATTTACTTCCATGAGTACACACATAAATGTGGGGTTCCCCAAGAGGTACGCGACAAGGTGACCTGGCATCAAATGTGCGACTAAATGATACTATCGAGAAGATAAAATAACGAATACGACAATAAGTTATTGCATGTGACAATTCCGAGCCTTCATCTCACTGAAGTATTTTGAAGTGAAAATAGGATTTTTGTTTTGATACATGGATTCACATGAACGTAACTTTATTCTGACAACTAATCAAAACTGAACAAAATTGATTGTACGTAACAGACAATTTATTGTTTTACAATGTTTTGATTGGCTAAACGAATGAAACCAACAAATTATAACATGTAAAATGACAATTTTGAAATGTAAAATTTAAAAGTGACAAACACAACCTCCCTATCCACTCTTTGGGAGCCCTAGTAAATTAGTAATATGTACATGCAGCAGTGGTAGTGTACAGCTTATTATCACACTACGCTTTGTATTCTAAAGCCTGTTGTTTGTAATAACACTCAACGTATGTTTTGTGTGTGGGCAGTCAACGATAATCATTGTTTTATCCCGGTTATATGACCTCGGCAATTATAACAAAACCGTACTAAACGAAAAAAAAACGCAAATAAGAGAAAGCTTTCACACACATATAAAAAATGAACTAGTCTAATCCGCCAGTATAAACTCTGTGCTATACGTAGCCGGGTCAGGCGCACACTTTAAAATATTTTATTTCTGTGTCACTAAGTCAACGATAGTAATTTAGATTTTTGTCCTTGATTTTTATAAATTCTAGGTTGTATTTGAAACCCTACACAGTAGGACGACACATTGAAAAAACCCATTGTTGTTTACCAAACTTTATATCAAAGTGGTGTAGCGATATATGACGTCATCGCACTACTTGTTTCTGGTCCGTTGGCTACCATCTTTATGAGGTTCAATGAAACGGGAAACATTTAAACATTTGAAAATGAAAGTGACGGATAGAATTCTACTGATCTCTTCTTTCCAACTATCTCATTTTAATGTTAGAAAAATGCACATAAATGGGAGTAAAATGCAATCAAACACGTGAGACTTTCATTCATTTTGTACCCTATATTCGTGCGAAATTAACATTGATTAAACATAATTTTTTTAATTGTCTGAATCGCTTAAAAGTTAAAGTAAATACGATATTTTATAAGTACCAAATATCAATCATTTCCGATAAAATGCCTTCATTTGTTACATTTTCTACGAAAACGGCTGGGCATAATGTGGGTAGAAATGTGTATTTTACGACGTTACATGCATGGTTGAATCCAAAAAGTAGCGTCATTCAGGAAATTATCATGTGTGCGTAAAATCATGTGGATATTTCATTTTGAGTAACTGAATTATCAAATTGACATATATATTGTCTTTGGAACATCACCTTTACACAGAATTATTTTCATAATGATTGCTCGATTTGTTCCATGATGAAATGCAATTTTAGACCTTGAGCTGACTCGTATCAAAAAGTATTTAGCAATGAGTTCAGGCTCACTGATTTTAAAGATAGATAAAATGAACGAAAGAGGTTATGTGTGCCTAAAAGCAAAAGCGTGTCAGTATTTGGATTTGAAGAAATGAATTAAAGTTTTGACATTAATATTATTTGTGAAGCATCACCTTAACATTGAATTATTTTTATAATCTTTGCTTGATTCCTTCCATGAGAAAATGCAATTATAGACCTGGCACGCGTATCAAAGAGGTATTTGGCAATTGCGTCCAGTCTCATTGGTTTTCAAGGTAAATGAAATAAGCAAAACTGGAAAAGGTCATGTGTGCGTAAATGCGTGTCAGTATTTAATTTTGAAGAAATGAATTAATTTTTTGACATTAATATTATTTGCGAAGCATCACCTTAACATAGAATTATTTTTATAATTTTTGCTTGATTCCTTCCATGAGAAAATGCAATTATAGACCTGACACGCGTATCAAAGAAGTATTTGGCAATTGCGTCCAGTCTCATTGGTTTTCAAGGTAAATGAAATATGCAAAACTGGAAAAGGTCATGTGTGCGTAAATACGTGTCAGTATTTAATTTTGAAGAAATTAATTAATTTTTTGACATTAATATTATTTGTGAAGCATCACCTCTACGCAGAATTATTTTTATAATTTTTGCTTGGTTCCTTCCATGAGAAAATGCAATTATAGACCTGGTACACGTATCAAGGTTGTATTTAGAAATTGCGTTCGGTCTCCTTGGTTTTCAAGGTAAATTAAATGAGCAAAACTGGAAAAGGTCATGCGTGCTTAAAAGCGTGTGAGTTTTTATTTTTGATACATTTTTTTGACATTTTTGACATTTATTATACCTATGGGGAATCATCTTTACATAGAATTATTTTTTGATTCAAATTTAGTTCCTTCTATTAGAAAGGCATGGCTAAGATTGGTTCTTATGTACAACTGTAATGAGATCTTTATGTTTGAATCGCACAAAAAGAAATAATGTCACATGTGCGTGAATGCATGTCAAAATATTTTAAAAACTGAATTATGATTTTGACATTTTCATAAGCTTTAATTAAACCATTGCCTTTCCACATATTTATTTATTTTAACATGAGAACTTTAAACAAGTTCATAACTGAACGGTCAATGTGAGTTGAATTAAAATAAAAAATATCAATTATCTGCGCATGTTGGTTATATTACGTCATACGGGATTTCGTGCTTTAAATGGGCTGAAAGTGGAAATGGCACGTGTGCGAAAACGTTTGTTATCAATTCATCTTTCAAAACACATTTTTATCTTTTACATATCTATGATCTATGATATATAACCTATGTAAAGAATTATTTTCATATTAATTGCTAGGTCAATTCAATAAGCAATTATGAGGTATATTTGAACTTTAATTCCATAGCAGATGTAATTCGGACAAAAGTTTTAAAATTCAAGAAGAGATTAAATCAATCAAAATAAATCTTATAATTCAAACAAGTCGACAATACTTGGTTCAGTTCTTTCATTTTCAATCATACCACGGTCATAGATTAACATAAGTGACCGTTCGAAAACATACCATTTTTGTAGAAAATGAAAGAAAATCGCGTTATAACATATATCGAGTAATTGTCAAGTTCACGTCTTAAGTTTGATGTGGTAAAACGCATTCTTCATTAGTCACACATTTAAGTTAAGGGAAGCCAAGATCATTTTAAAAATGAAACACTTGAATAGATATTTTTAACATTGAAATACTTTTAGAAAGTAAGCTTATACTAGTAGATTTGCTAGAACTAGCTGTTTGGAATTCATCAACTTTTCTCCACAGGATCATTTCGTAGTACAAATGCAGGTCATTCAAAGGAAATATAGGTTTCAACATCCCCGTCTATGAATATTGATCTTTTTCAGACAGCAAAGGTAAGTTTAAAACAGAAATACTTCTTACGAATCCAAATTACATTTTAAACTTAGAATTGTGATCTACGATCTTATGGGTATGTCACAAATTTGATAAGATACATTCACTCAGCAGGCCGTTAAACATGTAATTAACTTTACAAGCGTAACTATAGGTAACTTCGATTTTAGTATGTTCAAGTTCAAGTTCTGTAGTCTCGAGAGTCAAACGATTATCATAGTTTATTTGGCCTGCTTTTAGAATTGGGAAAACAAAGGCAAGGTTTATGTTTTATGAACATTCCGATTTGATAGCAAACTTTATTTTTTGAGTGTATTAAATCAAATAAAGCTTATTGCGTCGGGACCTGTACGTTCGCCCAATTAAAGGCAAATGTGCCGTCAATTAAAGAAACATGCACAGTGGTACATCGTTTTTGGAAAACATAACACTGATAATAAAAATTCATCAATTGTTATGAAATTTGCACCATCATTAAAAAGAATCTCGAATTTCATGATGACAAAATATCGGATAAATATGACGAGAAATAAGAATTTGTTACATTTTTTCCCAAAAAGTTGTAAAATAAAAATAAACTAAAAAAATAATATTTTCACGACAAAAAATAAATGGTTCAACTGTATTGATTATACATGGCGTTTTCAAAGAGTAGAGAGCTAGATTCAAAGCACCGTTCCTGCAAGTTTCAAATGAAAATATTAAAAAACGCGCGCGTATGAGAACCGCAACTTTCTATGTCTGCACTGACAAAAACTTGAAATCCCCGCTGTAAAGATATAGTCCCACGCGGATGTGCACGTCATAAAACTGATGGGTTAAGGCAATGTGTCCTCCTACTGACAGTATGCTGACAAATGCATAGCTTTACTGTCGAAAGTTTACTTACTCGGTGTTGAAGAGAATTGTAGTTTAAATCCATCGTTAGGATTGTGTGTCGAGCCTGGATCTAACCATCTTATATTTGAACGGAATAGAATCATCATCTGATTTCCTCTAGAAACAAATAATTCATTTGGTTTCGTTCCACAGCAGAATCTAAAATGTAAAAAGAACAATCCAATAATGCAACCATATTAACAGCGTTGATTAACGGAAAATATAAGGAACAATTTCATATTTTACCAAAACACAGATAATTTATGAGAACTGGTACAAAGCTAATAGCATCTTAGTAAATGAGGAAAGTCGTCGTTACAAAGCTAGTTTTTTATAGCAATCAATTTTTTTAAATCAAAAGAACACAGTAACCAAATTTTATGAGATAAAGATTCGTAATAGCAAGGGATGTTAACAGGTTCACTCAGGAGCACAACCTTGATGTACCTTGGGCCAGTGTGGTGTAAGTCGTTGTATCTGACCTCAACCCAATCGGTAATACAATAGTCATATATGCAGTAAGTTCCAAAGTTTCCCACAAATGAGGCTATAACATGAGAACCTTTGTCCGCCTATAACAGAAAACGCGATATATAGCTATGATAGATAGTCCGCTATTAAGATTTCAGAATGCACACCATTACCCACTGACTTATATACAGATGGCTTTCAAAAGTCCACCGATTGCGTCATCAAAGTTCGACATTTTGCGACTGGGAAACAATCTGAGAACGTGAAAATGAGGTGAATTTGTATTATCATTAGCATCAATTTGAATAAAAAGGAATCTGACTCGGCTATAAATCTCATAAAACATGTCTTACACATACCGTTAGCAGCCACGTACACGAGGTAGCATTGTTGTATCCAAGAGCATATGAAGGAGTCATTAATTCCTCTTGTAGGGTCGTCACATTAAGCTCACCTCCACATACAACTAAATATTGTATAAACAGATATTTTAAATCATGTACCAATAAACAAAATTGAAATCAGGGAATAAAATGGTTGGTGAATATATTCCGATTATGAAACATGACGGTAGTTGGACATTACGAGCTCAAAGTTGGCATACCATCAGCAGGTGCCTGTGGAGTAATCATGTTGCATATAGATCCAGTCCATCCATCCGGGCATTTACACACGTCACAATTATTTGGGTCCCTATATCCTCCATGTTGACAATCCGGCCACTCTAGATTTCTATAGCCATTACACGCACCTTTAAAAACATACCACTGTAATGGTGAACGTATTCATAGAAGTAGATTTCAATATCAATTGTGATTATGATACTAATATAAGAAATAGTTCTGAAAGGTGAAAAATAAATGTTAACATTTGTTTCAATAAGGTGTTGTAAATAAATTTATTTTGTGAATAAATATGTGTCAAAAATAATAGTTGTATTGAAACTGTGATTTTTATTTTTGTATTTACCCATGCTTTAAATCCGAGTTTAGTTTTTTCGTAAGCTTCTGTTCGGTATAAAATTGTTAATTAAGCAATATAATTTAAACATAATATGCCAGTGTTCATTTAATAACTTTGGTACTCACCACTGCAATATTCTCTGTTAAATATTTTGATGTCAGAAAAGGAAAGTCCAACCCTTTGTCCCATTACGTTGTCATACATTTCATGTTTTGCATTCATAGTGTCTACCAATTTACCAATTCTAAAATACTGCAACAAAACATTTAATTCTAGATCCAAATTATTTGTGAGCTTCTAACTGGACCGTTAAAAACTATTTGCCCTTTGTAAGTTAGTGAAATTGGAATATCAATTTTCTGATCTTGTTTTCTTAGTTTCTCTACATATATTCCGGAACTGTATACTCCGTTCTTATAAAAAGGTCTCAAAGTAGAAATGCATTGATGAGTGAATTGTGAATTTCAAATGATACTAATGTCACAATGTTCCCGATACAACCCCAATTATAGACAATAGCTAATTCCCTCCCTCATGTCTCTCTTTCTGATATCCTGTTGTCCTGTCACACCTGCTCCGGTCCGGGACCCTGTCTGCCTGCCACCCCCAGCCTCTCACCATTCCTATATAATGCCCTCTGGCGATTTAGGGATGCTTTTGTAATTGTATTTTAAACTATATCAATGAAATAAATAAATTTAAAAAACAATACAACCCCAACGTACCTCTTTCCCATACTGCATAACTGATCCATAGTCATATTCTATATTGTATGTTCGATGATCTTGCAACGATACAATATCGTACTGTCTTCTAGAATCATGTTTTATATTGGCCCAGTTCACAGAGATGTAAGAGTCCCTGTCCGGCCTTGTTTGCTCGTGAATCAAACCAAGGGCGTGACCGATCTCGTGCTCTATTATTGCTTTCTAGAAATGTAGTGTAAATCACGCTCGGTGATCGGAAGAAATGAACGAAGAGGGGAGTAGCTGAGAGAAGGAAATTCAACAAATCTGACATATTTACTTTTTCAAGAGAAAATTTACAAGTGAATTGCTAAATGAATACGCGCACGTCATGGGGAAATATTGTAGGTCTTCATGGATTTTTTAACTGATAGGCTTCTAAAATAAAATATAATTATAATAGGCGCAGCGTCACCAACGTGCAAATGCCGATGTTTTGGTACAAATTAAACAACGGGAGTCTACACGGCCTGTTATAAGTACTTGTAAGTGACGTTATTATCACAAAAGTGTTGTCATTGGTTTTGTAAAATACATTGACATATGCGTTATAAAAAATAAAAGAAAATAAATAAAATTGAACAAAGGAGGGGGTGAACGGAGGGGTAATGTCTAATGTCTAAAAGACATATGATAAGATATGTAACTTGACTTTATCTCCAATAACTCTAAATGTACCCATTTTTAACATTCCTAAACTTTCTCTTGAAAAAAACAAATCTTCAAGATTTGTTGAATTTTCTAGCAAAATTGACTATCTACCTCCGTTCATTTTCTTCGATCACCTGGCGTGAAATATATACAAACACGAGGTAAAGAGAATTATTAGAATATATCTATTCCAAAAAGGAGAACACCTCTATGCAGAGTGTCCACAAAAAGTACACCTAACTTCAAAACCAAATTACTAGCATCCTGGGCAGATTTTTGAAAATAAAAAGGTGGAATTAAAAGGCCTGATTTATTTTCCATCAAGTGATACCTAGATCATTATGTTATCTTAACCATTATAATTATGACCGATTGATGTGTAGTATTATTTTTCTGTTACATTATGTAAGACGACAGGCTTTCCATACTGAACTGGACTTGGGACTGAGTAACTCTCTTATGAAAAAAGCTTTGACAAAAAGCTTAACTTACTCTAAAATAGGTCCAAAGTGGTCCAACTGACACCTGAGCAGTAGAGCCAACAAAAAGTTCTAGAAAGCAAGTCAAATGTACTGTTTATAGAACCCCTATCCTTACTATTGAAATGGATTCTAACAATACCGTCCAACATTTTACTTGTTTAGACTCAATAAACTCGAGTTCTGAGAAAATGAGGATTTCAGCAAGGGCTATTGACTTTACATGGGAATACATTTTACTTCAAAGCTGCATATCAGCAAGTAGAAGTTTCATTGCTGATCAAGAGGCTCTTCAGATCCAATCTTCCGAGAGGGAGGTAGATATAAAAAGTTATGGAAAATTATGCAATAGTGAAGAACATGGAACACGTTTGAATTTGAACATCAATTATGTTTTGAACAGAAAAAAACATCACCTGCGTCATTCCTACTTGAATTTAAATTGGCACAGTGCTGATTTTACTACCTTTCATTAAAGTCATGATTGCTAAGCCATCCATGGTAGTTACATAATGATCTAAGTACCATTGATGGAGAACAACTAGGCCGGCCTTTTACTGCTACCTTCGTATTTTTCAAAAGTTGCTCAGAATTCTAGTATCTTGGCTTTGAAGTTGGATATGCTTTTTTATGGATGCCCTTTAGAATAGTCGACATTGTGTATCTACAAACAAAATCATGTACGCCAAATGGAAGAAAAGGGGGACCACCCGTAACATGCTACCCTGCATGCATAGTCTAGTTAAACTACACTGAAGACGGAGCTCTCTTTTAAGAAGTGAAGTCGAACGAATGCAAAGGGTAGTAACATGCCACTTCCTTGAAAAAAAATTACATTACTCTCCTATAACAACCAAAATATAGTTGCATTAAGCCTTTGCTCCTTTGTGGAAAGGCACACATTAGTGTGAGTCACCATAAACAGAAGTGAAAACAGATACAAGATTAGATTTATCGAGTATCACGCCTACATGAAAGTTTAGGCATGCGGAGGACTGATTGCGCCAGTCGATGTTTTAACCTTGTATTCAAATTGTTAAAGACTGTTTTCCATATAATTACAATTGATAATGTTAGATCAGTGATTAGAAAAATAGATTGATATCTTAAAGACTAAGCACTCTCGATTAATTTGACATCAGCAGATTTAAAATCCTTCCGTGGTTCACTACACAGGACAGGTTTCTTTGACTCATGTGAAATCTGACTTGCGCCAACTTCTCAGGGATTAAAAGGAACAATGGATAAAGAGGACGCATTCCTTTGACATTTAATTTTATTCACCGTCAAAGATAAAAGAGAGCTTCGTCTTCGTTGATAACTAGACTCTGCGCGCTGGGTACGTTAAATATTGACATTCCACTGATTCATTAGATGCAAACATGCCATCGCCTCAACATTTCCCTACGAGCACTTGTGATGAACTCCCTTTCTTTTGTCTCGAAGTAAAATTAAACCGATTACGCCACAAAATGTGTCGTAATTAACAAAACATGTGCGACATTTTTGCGACGTATGTATGTTTAAATATTTAAAAAGATATAGGCAACATGTCACAATTCATTCTAAACTTAGAAGTAATAAACTAAAGCTTGAAGATAGATGGCAGTTGATATTGTTGTTTTTTATAACAAAGGCTCCCACAAAAAAGTCGATTATCTAAATAACGTGGACATGTAAACGTCTTTTGTATGAATGTACTTATTCATGAACATACATGGATTAACAGGACTACCGATATCTTAAGACAAAACATGGATTATCGTCGTTTTTCGAAGGTGATAAAACTGTAAGTTATCCTTTACTCTTGAAAACAAGATGGCGTCCGTAAATGGAGCCCACGTATCCCATGAAGCAATAAGTGACTTAGATATTTGCGTGGTTCGTATCTTGTCTAATACTGACTGTATGCCAAGACATGAGGTTACGGAACAACTAGTGCTAGATATTGATGAAACTTTGTTAAATGAATCCAGGAATTTGTTGTTTGATCTTGCGAAGTTGAAGCTGTCGTTACAATGCACGAAGGAATACGGGCCAATTGCCGCAAGAGGCTATGATCAAATTGAAGAGGTTAAACCTAGAAAACGCACCGGTGAAAGAAAAAATGTTAGTTTAGCAAATGACATTTATGACCTCTATTGCTATAAAATGGATTATACTGAATCGTTTCCCAGGAACGTCACCTCTCAAGCAAGCCATATTCCAGAGTTAAAGAGAAAAGCTCAACCCCCGCCAAATGCGCTTGAAATGGGCACGAATCTTAAGGTTATTGAATTAACTGCTGAAGTGGTTGAAATGCGCAAGCAGTTAAAAGAGATAAAAAGGGATCATCAAGTGGAAATTGATAGACTGAATATAACGGTAAACAAGTTAAAAATTGAATTGGGTCAACACACATGTATGTCCCTAAGCCCACGGTACGGAAAAATGCCAATTAGTTCGGACTCTGTTTCGGGTAATAAGCCACTCTCACAGTCAAATACGCGACCTAGAGCCAATTCCGAGCCCGTCCAGACGTATGCTAATGTAATAACAAAGAAATCAGCTGGAAGAGAAACTGCACTTGAAACAAACAATAACAAACCCGAGAAAAACAATAACAATGAAACTGGCTCAAATACAGAGTGTTCAAAAAATGACAAACCCATAGGTCCCATTTCCTCTTCAAAGTCATCTGTTAATGAAACCCATAAACCTGCTCAAGTACCCAATGACACGGTTCCCAATGATGATGAAGGGTTCACGCTCGTAGAACGAGGACGGAACCGGAAAGACTCTGTTACAAGATTTGGTGAAAGGCGACAAGTTAATCTTCAATCCTTAGGGCATTTGAAACAAAGAAGCACATCTAACGCTAAAACGCTCAACACATCCAAAACTCGCACACTTAAAGGAATCGCGTATGAAAAAACTCAGACCCTATATTTGGAAAATGTAGGGGTTGAATATGGTGACACGGATAGTGAAATTGAAGACCTCGTTATGGAACACATCAAATCAAACATTGGCATAAACGTCACGAAAATGTATGTTGTGCGAAATAAATATTCGACGATTCGCGTAGGGATAAAACTCATAGTTCCCCAATCTGCAGCCAACAAGGCGATAGAATCTGATGCATGGCCACATCCTGTAACGTGCCGTCCGTGGGAATATAAACCGAGCTCACGTGGAAAACGCATCCCTCCCCAAATCACATACAGGTCAAACAGATATCGTGACGAACAGGACCCAAGCTCATATGCATATGATGAAGATTACATTAACAACGACGATGCCTACTATAGTGACATACGCGACTCTACTAAAAATTACGAGTCACGATTACATAAATACTCTCTGCGAGCAACAGAGAATAACTGTTCATATTAATTTTTACAACTCAAGTCAGTTAACATTTGTGATGCTTTTTGTCACTTTAGTACTGTTCCTTGTAACACGGTTGTTACGGCCTATGTTCATGACAGGGCCAGAAACACGTAACATTGTTATAACGTCTTGGAATGCAAATGGGCTCAATGCCTCGAGCCCATACCTTTTTAACCTACTGTGCAAATCTGATATACTATGTTTGAGTGAACATTGGCTCTACCCTGGTGCCTTAAATGTATTAAATAAAGCCCATCCAGATTTCGTATGCATTGCTGAAAGTAGCAACTCTCTTGATCCCTTAAACCAAGGTCACATTATTGGGAATGGAGGAATTGCTATTTTCTGGAGACAATCGCCAGACCTGAATATTGTAAATGTAAAGAAATTCAGATGTGATAGATACATAGTCATTAAGGTTCTGCAGCCTGGCTGTCGTGACTTACACATAATTAGTGTTTATATGCCTCACGCAAATTGTAAAAATGCAAATTTCCTAGAAGTCTTAGATAGACTTGAAATAATAACCGAGGAATTGCAGAATGATGGCGATGTAATTATCACTGGAGATTTTAACGCAGATTTTGGGAATACAGTGGGAACAAGAGGGTCGGGTGAAATCACACAAAATGGCACTCATTTGCTCAACATGTGCACAAGGACAAATCTCGTTCCCATTGATATGTTCCCACAATGTACAGGACCAGTTTATACATTTTTTCGAGACTACACTGGTCAATCCTACATAGACCATTTTTTAGTACCCGAACATGCAATAGGTCAATGTGTTAACGTGAATGTTATTGATAATGAAATGTTAAACCTATCTGACCACCTCCCGATTAAATTAACCGTTTGTCAAAAGCAAGAAGTCTTTTTCAAAAACAAACCTGTTAAAAAGAATGAAACAGAACGAGTCTCGTGGAAAAAATCATCCTTAGAACATTTAAATGATTATTCCAATGAAGTTCATCGCTTAGTAGAAGAGCGCCTTATGCCTGTGCTAGCTAGATCGAGTGAGTTACGTGATAAAAGGTTTATCGACGACTGTTTTAATCTGCTAACTTCGATATTTCACGAGGCAGCAAATAAAACTCTCCCTAAAACCAAATACTGTAAACATTTAAAACCGTACTGGAATCAATCATTGAAAGCTCTAGTAATTCAAAAGAAATCCACGTGGAATCAATGGATTATGCATGGAAAACCGCGCTCTCCGGGAAATGTTCACTGGGAAGCATATAAGGATGCAAAAAGATGTTTTAGGCGGGAATTGAGAAAATGTGAGCAAAACTATGAAATCCGATGTCAGAAGGAGATTGACGAGCTAGAAGAAATATCTTTAAACCAATTCTGGCATCTGGTTAAAAAACGGAAGCCACGATCAGCTCCGAATATTGCAATCAAAACAGATGATGGAGTTATATTGACTGATGATAACGACGTCACAAATGAATGGAGATCTTATTTTATGAAATTGGTGTCTGCTCATGGAAGTGATCAAGATGACTATGATAATATGTTTTTTCAAAATGTTAATAATGATATCGCCAGAATGGAGCATGAAAGCTTTCTAAACAATGATCTAGCATTCGAACAACCTGTTTCTGTAGCAGAAATTGAAAAGGTTATTTCCAAGCTTTCAAAAAATAAAGCCCCTGGTTGGGACCAAATATGCTCAGAACATTTAAACAAAGGAGGTACAATCGTTTTAAACGTACTTGTAGAATTATTTAATTGTATAATATCTTTGGAACATATCCCTGAGAATTTCAAATTGGGTGTCTTGATTCCGTTATTTAAAGGCGGTGTAAAAGATCCCCTAAATAAGGATCACCACAGGGGCATCACACTGATTACGTCATACATGAAAATAATGGAACGGTTAATGATGATAAGAAGTGAACAATGCAATTGACCTTTTGCGATCAGAATTCAGGAATTTTGTTTATGGATACTGTTGTCACGTATTTCGTCTTATTGGTATGACGTCATATAGAAATGATATTAGACATGATGGAATCACGAAATGGCGGACACGTGGCAGTTTTGAGCTAAAAATATTGTCGTTTCTTATATAAAAACCATGGGTCGGATATTTACCAGGTATGCCTATTTGACTAGATCATGAGTATGTCTATATATATGCGAAGTTTGGGTGAAATTCATACTAAACATCGATGCCTATAAGCGCCCCCCGTTTTTGTCAAAATCGGGGGGCGCTAAACCGCTATCTAAATCATGTCAGTAAGACCTTAGACTTGGTATGTGCTTAGCATGAATGTTGATCTAGTCAATTAGAACGCTTTCGTGAAAAATAAATCAATAAAGCACGAAATATAGAAGATAATCTCTCAAAATCAAGCATCTAAAGCTGGGTGACCTAATTGTGACGTCACTAAAAGACAGAATCCATTCGGTGATCGCAAATCATCAATTGTCTTGAACCCAAGTCTGAAATGCAAGGTGTTGGTCTTCCAAAATGCTCAAGCATACACACGTCACTTCTAGCCAGAGAGGCTATATCCCATGGACTTGAGTTAGGCAATGACGTCATCGTGACGTCACTAGATATTAAAAAAGCCTTCGATAGTGTGTGGCACGATGGTCTATTATATAAATTATACAATCAAGGTATTAATGGCAAGTTATGGAGGTTAATCAAATTATCATATAATGGCTACAGATGTACAATTAAGGCTTCTCCAAACTGTCCCATGTCTGAACCTTTTGTTGTTGAAAAGGGGGTCCACCAGGGCGGAATTTATTCTATGGAATTGTATGCCAGATTTACAAATGAATTACTAAATGAAATACAAAAATGTAACATTGGTAGCACTATATGTTGTATTAACTCAACAAGCCCCACATTTGCAGATGATACTGTCTTAATTGCATATCATGCCAAATCAATGCAGCAACTATTGGATAAGGTGTATCGATACAGTGTTAAATGGAGATTCCAATATCACCCAGACAAATGCCAAACAGTCGTTTTTAGTAATCAAAGGGATCCGCATAAACCCCACTTACTACTCGGGGGGAAACAGTTACAGGTAGTTGATTCAATGCAGCATGTAGGATTACACCTTACACCAAAATCAGATTTAAGCTATGTAGACAATGCCGTCTCTAAAGGAAGGCGTACTATGAATGCCTATATTGGTGTGACATCAACGATCAACAACCCCACGAACCCCTTAACTGCCTCAAGATTGTACTGGTCGATATGTATGCCATCTCTAACATATGGCCTGGAACTAATTTCTGTGAACGAGCAAGCATTGAGTAAACTGGAAGGAGGGCATAGAGAAATTGCTAAAAAGATTCAAGGAATTTCAGCAAAAACTTGTAATCCCGCGTGCACAGCAACACTAGGGTGGCACTCAATATCAAGTAGAATTTTCATTAGTAAACTGATGCTACTTTGGCAGCTGTTAGCACTTCCTATCACAAATGTGTATAAGAAACTGGTCATAGTAAGATTAACCTTTGCAACGCACTATAACCTTCATAAACTGTCCCCAATTGGAGATTGTCTTAAGATAGCTAGATCATTTGGACTTCTGGGTGATGTATATGAAATGCTCAATGTTGGAACTATTCCAAAATTGCAATGGAAAAGACGTGTGAAAAATGTTGTGTATGAACGGGAATTAAGCAATTGGAGAGTACAGTGTATTTTGTTTGAAAAGTTGTCTTTATTCAGAATGGTTCAAAAAGAGATATATCCCCTTGTATGGTGGACCCTAGCAAAATGTAATCCCATGCTACTTAAACCATGTAGAACCATGGTTAAATTATTAACGGGTGAAGGAAATCTAATGGTTAACTGTAAACGGTGGTCGGGTGGCAAGATAAATGATCTATGCTTGGTATGTGGCGAAGCTATTGAGAATTTAGTTCATTTGGTACTAGAATGTCCGGGGCATAAGGCAAAACGAAAGGATATTGAGAATATTCTTATTCAGATGTACCTTGATACCCCTCTCCCACCGAATGACGTGTTATTACCGATTTTATTTGGCGAAAATAATGTACTGACAGAGGATCAATATATTAAGATAGCTCTGTCAATTTATGGAATGTATGAGGCAAGACCAAATGTAGATTTTTGATTAGTTAACCATAATTTTTAATGAGATTTGGTTTGATAAATGATAGGTGGACAATATCATATTGTAGCTAAAGGGTAATAGGTAAAGTGTAGGTTAACTGACGGCGTCAACGCGGTAGCCTGACGTCCGTCAACGGCAAATATTAGGTGGAGAACTTGTTTTTCTTATTGCATGTAACAGATAGTAGTAACTTGACGGCGTCAACGCGGTAGCCTGGCGTCCGTCAACAGCAAATATTAGGTGGAGAACTTGTTTTTCTTATTGCATGTAACAGATAGTAGTAACTTGACGGCGTCAACGCGGTAGCCTGACGTCCGTCAACACCAGGGATTGGTTGTACATAAACATTTTAATAGTTTTTCTTATTATTGTATGTAACATAATAATCTCAACCCCTTATGTAATATTTTATATAACACATGTAAACACACCAAGTCTGGTGGATAAAATAAACATAAATAAATAAAGCCATCCTCACCTGTACACAGCCTCTCTTCGCCAACGATATTAAGTTAATCCTTTCATATATGCCTATGGGACCAATATACGAAAAACATCTGAAAATGGATATGGTATATTTAAATGTTGGAAAATTACACTGTTTTCAAAGCTCCACGATATTGCTTGTAGGGAAATTTTTCATAATTTCGTTTATGTTCTTCATCTGAGAAACATCAATATACTTTCTTTAAAATATTTTAATAACTATAAGACTGCACCATATAATCCAAAAAATATTTTTCATTTTTAAAAATTATCTATGGATTAAAACCCAGATATATTTATTTTTCAAACTTCAAAGGGCTGGAAAAGACAGATAATCAACGCTTTTGAATAATAAAATGCTGTTCTAAATTGGTTTCATGAATGCCGCAATTATTAGTTATTAATAAGTCTATTGGTCTCTTGAACACATTTAAGGTGCATCGCGATAGAAGCAAGTAAGAAGCAAAGATAACGTTCATGTACATGTATGGCAAAACATAATAGTCACGCCTAACCATCGACAACGTACAGTGACAAAACTCTTCGTCGTACTGTACGATGTCACTTTTAATCCATTTGAAGCAAAGACAATGATGTAGATTTGATGTAGGTTTTAAAAAAATATCTGCGCAATACATACAAGATTTTAAGTTTGATTTCGTGTGTATTCGTTTGGGAAGACATTTCACTTTCTAATAACGTTAAAAGATTTTCAAACAGTGCTCGATATTTTCGTTGTTAATCTACTCATATAATTGGTTGGTTGAAAAATGTTGTTTTTTACGCATTTCCTTTCATCATTTCCTCGCCTGTCGTCTAGGAGATATAGGTTATTTACAGGGAGGGATTGAATATGGGGTTTATTCTGAGGGACAATATGATATTGACCGAGGGAAAACCCATATTCAATCCCGATCAGAAATAACCTATTTATTCAAGAATAAATCCCTCTGAAATGTCACATTTGGATAATGCAAACATAATATTAATAAATGCACATTGCATTGCACAAAAATAAAATAAAACAATGTCTCTTTGATCATTTGGCGTCTGTACCTGACGTTTTGTTAGTTACATTGACAGATAGAGCTATACTAGCTTATTGAAAGTGCTCAATAGTTTCAATAGTTCAATCAAATTAAAGTAATTCTGAAATAATTCTGTTTCAATTTCAATTTTAAATGCATCTGACCCCCCTGTCTGTTAGTGTTATGAAAAATACGTAGATAGACTATTTTACTTTTGTCACCCCTTTAGATCTGATTCTGCCGTTTAAGTAGCATAAAATGATTTAACATCAGTTTTGTTTAACAGCTCTTTGGTAATATTATGAACTCTTGTATTATCATAGCAAAGAATAAACTACTTGTATTGAAATGAGAAAAAATATTATTTACGCTATTCATTTGAATGACATACAGAGATCGAGTTTGTTTAAGTTCTAGTTTAGAATGTAATAAAAAACGTGTTCTCCTGTTCTCCACATCGGCTATTATATTTTTCTAATTACAGAAGTAGCAAATTGAAATGATTTTTCTGCTTTTAAGTATCGACCGCGTTCAATTTGGAGGTTTTGCATTGGTAACCGTGCCTAGCTATATGTCTATGGGTGGAGTTCTGTAAATTGAGATAACTTTCTCTACTATGCTTGTTTTACTAATTTATATCTTCTAAATTCAAAAGAAGCTCCAATTTCCCGATTCATGTAAATCTTCTTCATGTTTACTAAAAAATAATGAATATGAATCAACTGGTGATTTTTATGTGAATCTAAAATTTTAAAGTACTAACTAATTTATTAATGAGCAGCGGGTATCTGCCCAATTCCGGCTTTTCCACTTGGTGAAATCGATAAAATAATATATTATAAGATGTTTCATTTTCGGATATTTTTATTTTATTTATTTATCTATTAAAATCATATTAGCATATTTACATAATAATGATAAAGACACCCCAGGGGGTGTATGGCTTATCACAAGCGAGAACATTTTAAATTGCATATCATTAAGTTGTAATTCTTTATAAGTTGTTTTAAATTTAGGTGCATATACTCTTGAATTTACACCATGTCATCAAAATTCAAATCAAGTAAGCCAAGCTGGTAAACAGTAAAATTAAAATGTTTAACAGGATGTAGTTGAAAGATATAAAATTGATTTATGGGTAAAAAGTGCGTAATAATACAGTTTTTCCATTCAGTATTGTAATTATTATATTATATTATGAAGGAAAAAATATGATCAGCATAATATACTATATTGTATAGAAATTTAGAAATAAGTGAGATCCAAATATATATCATTTGTACATATACACATTTCCTAAATCCAATTATCTCAATAAGAAAATGTAGCAGGATGTATTATTCCCGTTGTAATATTCTTTTTTAGAATTATTTGCGCCAATTAATATTATTTGGTCGTATTCGTCAATCCAAAAATATGATTGCAGTTTATTTAGAATTATTCATATTCTAAAAAATATCATTTTCTCGTATTTTCCAATCTGAAAAGAATCACATTTTCACCAAGTGTGTTGACAAGTTACTGTAGTTATTATTGACACGTAATACCTATTTGCAATATCTATTGTGTAAGTTCTCAAATGGAAATAAATTGTCTAAAAGTACATCCTTTGTCTTTTATTTTTACAATATCTGTAGTAAACCTATGTTAGTTCTAAATTAAAAAATTATGGGGGATGGAAAACTGACTTATTTGATGCCCTGTACATTGTATTTATGAAGCTCAGATGTGTTTTGTGGTTGCATAAATTGTAAATTAGCTTTTGACCGTTTTTAGGTGGTTCCTAGGCAGGTACATTTTATTTTGTTGCAGAGTGCCCGTTTTGAACACACACATTGGTATTTCTTAGATTATAATACTAGTGTCTTAATCTTAAATGAGTGTTTTGATAACATAACCTGTGAGTAAATGGAAGAATACTGAATGAACTTGGCAAACTTTAGAACATTTCTATGTGGTTTCTAGGCAACACAGATGACATCACAATAACCAGTGTACAAAGACAGTGATATACTGTAGGGTCAATGCTGAGGGGTGATTCTTTCTCCATATCTAGATGTTTTAGTGCCTATACAATGATGAAACTATGGCAAAATGGCCATAATAAGGCGTTTTAATCCATTCCTAAGTGGTTGCTAGGCAACAAGATGACATCATAAGTTCTTAACCACTTTATATTCGAGGGGGGTACTATACTGGACATATGCGCCACGTTTTGTTTTCTAACGTCTAAATGGTTTGGTAGCAAACAGGCATAGACATACACACACAGAGAATCAGTAAATTGTAGTAAAATGCGATTAAATATGGATTCAGCATTTTACCATAGTGTAGCCATGGGTTTAAGAGGCTCTAGAACAAAAGTGTATTAGTGTTATGTAACATCAAAGGTATCACTGGAAAGAGCACATTAACGTGAACAAAAATAATCTCATTTTATTTGATAAGAATATTCACTAAGGTATTTAATTGACATTGATGTGGAGCAATTCGTTAAATATACCTTAAAATGGGAATTTAAGGATATTATGACGTCATAATTGCCGGGTGAACAATTGAAACCGACTAAATAATACATAGGGTGACGGGACATTTTATTACCTTCAATATGGTACCAATATCATTAAAAATAGTTAAAAATTAAAAAAGTTATGGCCAATATTGTGTTTATCATTCTTTATGGCTAATGAAAAGTGGGCGTGGCACTTTGCATCCGTTTCCATGGTAACGGGCCATTTTTCAAAACTTTTCATTGTCATATTTGGAATCTACATATCAATATTATGAAAGTACAGCATGTTTTGAGCGGTTGCAGTCAATCTTAATTAAAGTTCCATATTTGACCCTGCTCCCACTCGCCTATAGCCAAAACATCAGAAGCATAAAATGCAATTTGTTTGATTAATTAAAGTGTCAAATAACTGTATCTGCGATTTCACGTTACCATTGTAAAATACATTTTTAAGTGCATACTTGGCCTTTAATGCTTTTAAGTACAAAACAGTATATGCAGATTTTAAATTACAATTTTAATGATATGTGACTCTCAATATGTATAATCAGAAATATTTTCAAGTACAGTTACAATGTACAGTGTACAGTTTAGATGGGGAAGAAAAAATATTATCCTCCGATAAAAAAGTTAAGCTGGCCAAACAGGGGAACAATCTTATTAAAGTCCCCGTATAAAGTTTGAAAATACGTTTTTATCATTCATTTACTTTTTGTTAATTATTTTGGAGATTTTTGGACAAAAATTTGAAAAAAAGTTGTCATCTTTTCATTTCACAAATATTCAAATTTCCCGCCATTTTCAAATAAAAGTTGAAATATTTTAATCATCAAATTTTCAACTATACAGTGCAAACGTTGCTTTTTTAAAACCATGCAAATATTATACAAAGGACACACTATTTCAATAATAAAATGTCATATCATATCCAATGTGCCACTTCGATGTTTTTGCATATCAAAATACGTTGCTACCTAAGTGACCTCATCGTGACATCACTGGTAGCAAAAACTTTTTTTTTTAAATTGAAGAAGATTTTTCCATGTCAATCTTTTCTAAATATGCTATACTTCAAAAATAAAACAATTCTAATAGTCTAACCAGGTTAAAAGGAAGAATACATTATGTTTTAGATATTATTGTACCATTGGTTTCTATGATAACTAAAATGTTGAAATGCGTTTTTATCTGAACCATTTTCATGCTTGGGTGGGTTTATTTCTCGCTTATTTTCTTAATTATTTTGGGCAAAAAACACTTGAGTATGATGAATGCGATGATTGGTATGAATTATCACTTATTAAAAGATACGCGCCTCTTAAAGTAAGTTTTAAATAAATTAATGATTTTTCGAATAAAAAAATCCTTCAAATAACACCTTTTTAAAATAAAAAAAGTTTCACCTATCAAACGTTGATAATAGTTGGTAAGAATACATTTATTAATAAGCCAAAGTGGTTTAAACTTAAAATGGGGGCTTTAAAGAAATGAAATCTTGAATTAGATTCCAGCAGTGATACTGATTAAAAGACTTTTTTGTTGAATAATTATGAAAAGCTTGATTTTTACATTCTGAGTATGTTCACTCTTATACGAAGCTTTAAAAGGGACATTTTTACAATTTTGAAAAAAAAAAGTTCTAAATTTCAACAAACTTATGAAAATTCACAACATTTTTATCTAAAATCAAAAAAATTATGGAAACAGAAATTCTTTTGAAAAATCAATTATTTATTTTTTAAAAGAATCAAAAACATTTTATGAAATCTGTAAAAAATAAGGGGTTTGGCGATCTGTGAAGTATTTAAAATACCTTTTTTAGGCCAATTTAAATACATTTTAAACATAGATTTACATACTCTGTCATATTCTTTATCACCAAGTAAAGAATCCGCACCAAATAGTATTGGCAACAATATACCACTAGGGGGAGAGGCTGATTTGGAAATAACTTTTTACAAATATTTGATATTTCCAAGCGTTCGTTATCATGACCTGAACAATCAAGAATCAAATGCGGTAAAGTTTCTGGAGCCAGTTTACATACCATACACAAATCTGATTTTACGCGATTACCTTTTAATTTGTCATAAGAGCTCCACCTCCAGTTAGCAGAGGAGACTTTAAGCTGGCGATGTTTTTCACAACATAACCGTGAACGCAAAGTCAATGAATCAATACAGTAATCATATGTTTCATATTGACCCCCTACCTCATGTTGGATAAGTGGTGGGGTTCTTGTGTTTTTTTCTCCACAACAATTGGACACACCAATGCCATACTTTCTTGATCTAGCAAATGCTACTTTAATAATGTTGTGGAATTCTTTCATTTGCATTAATACAATAAAAAAAACTCTGAGTGATTTCATGAAATAAGATATACTAGTCTAAACATGGGATATGGGGGTTAGTAAAAAGGCTAAAATCACAAATAGATTCAAAATAACTTGCAAAATGTCTAATAAATAGTAAACTGTATGTTAATCAACCATTTTAGTCATGCTAAAAAAAGAGTGAGCACAAATTATACACTCACAAAATATTTTTTTCATATTTACCCCTACCCTCTGTTGAAGAGGTGGTGGGGTTGTTATAATTGTTTTTTTCTAATTGATTAGAAACATCTGCTCTCGATATCTTGTATTGGCACTCGACTTTGTCTCGTTCCAATACAGAATTTCTCGAGCAGAATATATCCCATATTGCACTTCAAATCACTCAATAACTCAATAACTCAATGCTCAATAATTGCTACGCAGTTGATAATCTTGCACAAGAGTAAGCTCAAGAAAATTATGGAAACAGAAATTCTTTTGAAAAATCAATTTTTTATTTTTTAAAAGAATCAAAAACATTTTATGAAATCTGTAAAAAATAAGGGGTTTGGCGATCTGTGAAGTATTTAAAATACCTTTTTTAGGCCAATTTAAATACATTTTAAACAAAGATTTACATACTCTGTCATATTCTTTATCACCAAGTAAAGAATCCGCACCAAATAGTATTGGCAACAATATACCACTAGGGGGAGAGGCTGATTTGGAAATAACTTTTTACAAATATTTGATATTTCCAAGCGTTCGTTATCATGACCTGAACAATCAAGAATCAAATGCGGTAAAGTTTCTGGAGCCAGTTTACATACCATACACAAATCTGATTTTACGCGATTACCTTTTAATTTGTCATAAGAGCTCCACCTCCAGTTAGCAGAGGAGACTTTAAGCTGGCGATGTTTTTCACAACATAACCGTGAACGCAAAGTCAATGAATCAATACAGTAATCATATGTTTCATATTGACCCCCTACCTCATGTTGGATAAGTGGTGGGGTTCTTGTGTTTTTTTCTCCACAACAATTGGACACACCAATGCCATACTTTCTTGATCTAGCAAATGCTACTTTAATAATGTTGTGGAATTCTTTCATTTGCATTAATACAATAAAAAAAACTCTGAGTGATTTCATGAAATAAGATATACTAGTCTAAACATGGGATATGGGGGTTAGTAAAAAGGCTAAAATCACAAATAGATTCAAAATAACTTGCAAAATGTCTAATAAATAGTAAACTGTATGTTAATCAACCATTTTAGTCATGCTAAAAAAAGAGTGAGCACAAATTATACACTCACAAAATATTTTTTTCATATTTACCCCTACCCTCTGTTGAAGAGGTGGTGGGGTTGTTATAATTGTTTTTTTCTAATTGATTAGAAACATCTGCTCTCGATATCCTGTATTGGCACTCGACTTTGTCTCGTTCCAATACAGAATTTCTCGAGCAGAATATATCCCATATTGCACTTCAAATCACTCAATAACTCAATAACTCAATGCTCAATAATTGCTACGCAGTTGATAATCTTGCACAAGAGTAAGCTCAAGAGAAGACTAAGCTTGTATCCGCGAATGCAACTAACGCCTGTCGGGTACCGGATTAATCTACTATTTTATTGGTAACTCATTTAGTATATGAATAGTACACTCCACCTATTCCATTCATATTTAAATGAGTTGGCCTCAAAACAGTAGGTTAACCCATTAGCCGGCATGCGTCAATTGCATTCACGAATACAAGGTTAGCTTGTATTCGCGAATGCAAATAACGGCTACCGGCTACCGAATTAACTCATTGATTGGCTTAAATTAACCCGTCAGTTTGAAGTTGTAATTTACGAACAACCCGTGTGTCAAGTAACAGTGATCATGTGACTTTTCATCTCATTGTCACATGAACAAACACACCTATATTAAAACATGTGCTTTGCGTCTATGCGCCGATGTCTGCTTCCGCTATTTATAATTCCGAACACCTCGATAGTTGCTACAGGTTTAATACTTAGTCTAGTTTATGACCAACTCATTTAAATATGATTATTATAGTTACCGTCATATTTGGCGAGCAATACCTTATTGCTATTCCGTATTTTACGTATTTTACACTCGAAGATAGAGCCTTCTTGGAGGAGCCCTGTGTTCTTTTGTGTGCACAGGTACACACCACAGCCTTTTATACGAGTCGTGAACCACTCAAACACCCAGAATTACATAACGCACAAACAAACTTGTCTGAACCGGGAATCGAACCCGGTGTAAAAGGGTAGGAGGTCCTTTCAAATTATGGTCCTACTCTCCATTGATTTTTATGGTGACCTAAATACAACTCTTTCCCTCATTATCGTATACGCAATCAGGGCCAATAAGGGCCGTTGAGAAAGGGCACCATAATCCCGGGGGGACCATCATTTCTTTAACACCGGGGCCAAGCGATATTGGTAACCTTGGCTCTGCCACTGAGCCATAGCGGGTGGAATTGATATTTAAATGAGTTTCCAATAGAATAGTAGGTTACTCCGGTAGCCGACAAGCGTTAGTTGCATTGGAGAGCTAAGATAATTGAAAAGTTAAAGGAATATTCCTTGCCAAACCATCTCTCTCATATGGTAGCTATAACCATATATATGCTTGCCATGTTTAGCAAAACACGCAAAAATGTTTTAATATGGTCAAATTTGATCACTTAGTAATGTGATGGATAGATATTTTTGCACAGAAAGTAATGATCACTTGTCTAGAAGTGATTTTGTGCTACTTTCCTATACTGTTATGGGCAAGGTTATAGAAGTTGAGAGTTGATGACATCAATTCCTGCAAGAAATAAGCACTAGATTTTTAAATGATCAATATTGACCATATTAAAACATTTTCCCATATTTTGCTAAATATGGAAACTATATATATGATTATAGCTACCATATCAAGAGAGAAAGGGTCTGGCAAGGAATATTCCTTTAATCTTGAACTTCCTTCTTAAACATGAAATACATGTATACAAGCTTAAGGTAGCATGTGAGTGAAATTGTTTAGAATCAAATACTAACCCAGATTCTGATATGAAAAACAAAGCAGGGATAGTTGTGTCGTTCGACTCCTTAAAGCTGGCGCAAGTAGCATCCTCCCAGGTCTGAAGACCCTCTCGTATTTTAGTTTTCTCTTCGTCACCTGAACATATATCAAGCTAATACAAGCATAGCATGTATAAATCTTAAAAATTAAAACTTTAAACGTTATCAAATAATTTGAAAAGCTTATTATGTTTTATTTTTGTGAGATTCTGATAACCCAATGCAATGGGTGTCACTTGAAAATTCATGAACGTAATACACGTGCATTTGCCATGAAGGGCGTAGCTACACGATAAAAATGGACAACTAAATGTGATAAAATTTATACTTAACCTTTAATCTTAAACATTAAACATTTATATGTACAAACCATGAAATAGATACAATACAAAACGATACGATACTATACAATACGATACAATACAATAGAATAAAATACACACCAATACAATACGAGACTATGATATGATACGATACGAAACAATATGATTGAAACCAGGGCTTCATGTATTTAAAATGATAAATAAGAAAAGCGATAAAATTGCAACTTACTGAACACAGTGTCTATACTGTATCTTATTGGAAAGCTCCACCGCTCTAGGAAAGGGGTTTTAATCTTTCGTTTAACACGTTTCCTACTATGGGAATTCCTTTTTAAATGCTTGACCTTGTAATTCTTGACAACTTCTCGTATAAAATTGTCCTCCCTGTGAGTTTTTCCTTTGGGTCTATCATGTAGGTCGACTTCATTTGGTAGGTTTCTGTTTTTGTAAAGCTCTATGAGTTCCATGTTCGTTATCTTCTGTACAAGTTGTTTCTTGTTCAATATGATATCACCTTGCTGTTTGGGTATATGTAGGTCTTTCAACAGACTGTCCAACTCAGTGTCGGTAAGTTCACTTAAGAGATTGTCGGCCGTGTCGTAGTTGTCGTTCGCTAACCACTCGACGTCTTCATGAGGAGTATATTTAGCTACAGGTACATCAAAGTTGCCATATTGATTACTTTTTTTTCGTGTATGGACAGATGAAACAAGGGCGATGCCCATTAACGTTTGAAGAAGCATTTTTAAAGTTTTATTCCTCTAGATTTCTTTTAATCCATCCAACTATATTTGATAACATATAACTTAAACTTGTTAATATAATCCTTAGATGTATAATGTACTTGTGTTTATTAAACCTTTTGAACACTTGCTCGATCAGGTCAATTCAAAAGACTATTGGCTTTCGAAAAATCACATTAAGAGGTCACTTACTTATTTGGCAACTGCATATAAATGTGATGCCAAGATGATATGTCAAGCTTACACGTTACTTAATATGGGTGGGAGAATTAGAGACACCTCGAGTAATGGGACAGCTTTCAAAGATGCCTCTTTGTACATTGAATGGCATCATAATTGTTTTCAGTCGCGTCCATCCGACAAACGAAACAAAAAATACTCCAATAAATGCATGCGATCAACAACATGTACAGTGTAAAATGAATGTCGCTGAACGAAGGGCACATGTAGGCAGTCAACCGTACACAGTCAAAAAGTTATAATTGGTATCCTCTTAGCATGTAGTTAGTGTCCTGTCGCTGTCCTCGCTACCCCAAATGAACTTGCTCAGTTTTCCGTAAAAAGAGACGTACCTAAGATACTAATAAAATAATGTACACTCCCCTCCAAAAGTTTGGCAACCTCAGCTCCCTCATTAAAGTACGTACGGAGATATGAATTGACATTTGACATCATTTCCAATACCTCCAATTTTCGGATCAGAAATGGATGACAAATCTGATAATTTTTTGAAAATCGACATTCCCATGTAAAGCAATGGAAATATGTCGCAAGTCAAATGACTTTATTTAACAAAGAAAAGAAATTCAGGTTCAAAAAACTTATAGGTCTTCAGAGTCAAATTATTTTTCAAAAACTCCTCCCATTGAAAAACACAAGAGGCGCAAAATGATTTTCAAAAGTGACTTTGAAGCTCTCATAAACTACACTTAACGTGCAAAAGAAGTCAGACAATTCAATTGTCAATACAAAAATATTTTTGTGAATCTTTTACTGGATAGATATCCTGAAATCAGATTTGCCGCGAACCCTTCATTTCCCATTTGTTTACATGGGAATGACGATTTTCAAAAATTCATCATCAATGTTCGACCTGTTGTAATTGAGGGAAAAAATTGGAAAAATTTGGAGGCATTGCAAATGAAGTCAAGTTACATTTTCATCATTTATTACCTCGCAGGTTATGTAAATAAAAATTCAAACATAAAGAGGCTTTAAGACGTAATTCAATGAGGGAGCTAAGGTTGCCAACTTTCTGGAGGGGAGTGTATAGATTTAGATTTATGAACTTTATTACACATTCATACCCATAAAAGGTTAAGTGTACACAAAGTAAACACTAATTTTACAATATATCAATACAACAGAAAACAGTATATATAACAACACACAAAATTAACACTTCATAATAAATAAATAAGTAAATAAATGAACAAATAAATATGCATCATGGATAAGCACATGAATGGTGATTGTGATACGCGTCCATTGTTTATGTCATGTATCACACCCTTCTATGTTATATTACATTTATGAATAAATTCTGCTACAATATTAATTTCTTTATTTTCACAAGACATACAATATTGGAAAAAAAGTGAATCGTCCTCCATGTTGAAAAGGTGTTTAATTGGGTTGCCGTGTGATACAAGTTTATCGAGCATTTTCTTTCTATATATACTGTATTTTTTACATGAACGCATTATGTGTTTTTCGTTTTCTATTAAATTGCAAACCTCGCAAATTCTTTCATCGATCTTTAATTTTGGGCGTTCGTATCTACCCGTTTCTATTTTTAATTTGTGGTTACTGATACGAAACTTTGTTAGACTTCGTCGTAAATGCCCATTTGAAATTGAATCTAAATATGGTTCGAACCTGAAATTGCTTTTAAATATTTTGTATGTATTCAGTTTGCGACATTGGTCGGAATTCAATTGATTTCGCCAATAATCTTCAAAACTAATTTTTGATTTACAAACAACTTCGGATGCGTCAATAGTATATTCTTTTACATCTAAAGTATTATTGATATTGCTGGGAGTATTTCCTGAAAATGATACTACCTCTAATTTATCCATTACACTTTTAAAATTCAGCATCCACGATGACTTGTTGATCTTTGATAAGTCATTTGATGTAGTAAGTGCTTCTGGTTGTATATGACCAGGCAGCTTGTGTACAATATAGAGTATTCAAGGACGTGCCATACCATATATATTTATAAATGTATTTTTCAATAAAAATAAGTTATTAAATCGTTGAATTTAATATGAAAAAAAACCAAGCCCTTAAACTTTGTGTCTTTGTGATTCAAACTGCATCCAACATTTGAACAAACAGAAACCTTCCAAAACCAATTCATAGTCTTTTCAAGCACTTTGTATATACAAAAGTACCTATAGGTATTGTAAATCAGTACAGTGCATTTTTGGTTTTTTCTCTGACAAGTTTTTTATGCTCCTACAGTATATCGTTCTAATAGACAATTTCAATAAACACGGCTCTGCCACCTTTTCATTGTAATCATAAAAACTATGGAATATAGGCAAGATTGATGATGTCATTGGTTGTAGCTATAGGTAGCAATATATCCATGTAAAAATAGAATTCACTTGAAATTCTCTGAAATTTTTGTAGTATATTCACAAAATATATCAATTTAACTGATTATATTCCGTGTTTTTCAGCTTGACCCCAAGGGTTCGTGTATGGGGGGTCGAGAAAAAAGGATTTTTCGTTAATTTTGAGATCTTTTTTAGTTATATCTTTATTATACTCAATTATAAAAGGCAATTTAGTTTATGTTTTTTCCAATTTTTGATAATGCAAATTGATATACCCCCTGTGGGTATCTAGCGTGTAAATGTAACACTCGATATTAATTATATTTCATGGATAAAAAACACAAAAAACGGCTGCTTCATGTGGGAGTTTGAAATAATTTCCCGATCTCCTCAAAGCTACCTTTGTATGTGTGTTATCATGACTGTTCCACAACCAGGATGTTCATCAATTTTGTTACATTGTGGAACAGTGATTATACTCAAATTGAAGGAATTGTTTGAGTAGATCACATTTACGTAATTAATTGTATTATATATCTTTATAGCTATATTACACTCAAATTGAAAAAATATATCTGCTCATATTTATTGTAAATGTGTTGTATTGTATTGTATATTTTTATTGCCCATATTTCAATGGAGATAGAAGTTATGTTTTTTACAAAATAAAGTAAAAAATAAATGTATATTTTACAACAAATATTGTATACATAAGCACACGTAACTGATGTAAATCCGCAGGCAATCCCAATGCTCTGAAGTCACATGGAGTTATACAGCAAAGGAGTTAGCCATAATCGCGTGTGTTCAACAAGTCCTTTTAGTCAATGGTATGACTTCCGAATATAAAGGATCCGTAGCACACTTAGCAACATTTGAAGCAATATTTATGGAGGTGCATATGTCTTGATTCTTTTAAAATACCATTTGCTGAAAAAACTTCCGGCTTTCGGGTCGAAAAATGTCTTTCATCACAAGGGGTCAAAAAACGTAAATATTTTTATTCGAACTTTTATACATTTTATAAGACACAGACCGTTATTTAAGCATACGAACAAAAAATAGATTATCATAATGTAAAAAAATATACTATAATTTCACTGTATACTATAGATGTCGGTGTTTAATAAGTGTAATTACGCAAGTGTGTTTTTCAGATATTGTTTGATTTTTCAAATATGAGCCAAGAGCAGATTCAACAAAATCGTGTGGAATATTTAGGTAATCTATGATTGGGAACATATTAGTTTTCTTACCATTTAAAACATTTTATTACCAGAATTTTTCTATATAATCACAAGGGGTCAAACAACAAATTATTATCCATGTTTTAGAAAACACAATACAATAACAAATAGGTAAGATTTATATCTAATTAAATGTTACAGAGGTATTGGAATGTTCAAATATTCCAAGGGCATGTCATATAATCAATTAGAGTCATATGCAATCAAACACCTTACAATTCTTCCTCGACGTTACTGCTGGCTATCATCAAGTTTTCTGATGCAGTTAGGTCAAGTATCGCTGCGCTATAGTGTGCTATCAGCTTCTTTATTAGACGTCCTAGATATTTCATACCATGGACTTTTTAGAAGTGAAATGACAGTAGGTACTAGTATAATATCTATTTCAAGAATTGTATCATTCAAAAACAGGAAATTGTGCTCTTCGCAAAACATGTCATAAGTTCTTGCCGATAAATAGTATATTATGTGGCGGGGCAATTTAATAAATATATAACACCTAGTATAACAATCTTATTGTATTTTCTATAGTGTGCATTCTGTAAGGCTGTTATACATGATTGTTTGAGCAGTCACTCTATAAAGTTGGGCGAAACCATATTTTCCATGAATCTGCTTATCACAATTTTACTGTCTAACATGTCCTGTATATAGTGTTTTTAAAACCTAATTACATATACCTTAGCACATTCATGAGAGAGAACATTTTGGTACTGTCAAAACCTTAATTTGAAAACTTTGTTAATCGAATTACGAGCAATCGTTTGCATTTTTATATGGCAACTGGTTAAGACTCCACAAGAACATCATTTTCAAAAATCAACATGCAATTCATTGTCTAACCAACTTAGGATCACGGTTGAGATGGAATGACTCGTCGTCTTAGACGAGGATTGGATCCTACGTCCAACATCCCGTTGCAATTGTTTCAATGTCCTTTTGCTGATGATTTACAATTAGGGCAGCAAAAGTCATACATGGAACGAACACCTTTCTTCAACATTTTTCAATTTCAAAATACTTTTATTTCATATCTCATTACAAAATTTCAAAACTATACGGGCTTCGACACCCCAGTTGGTGTATAACATATTTTGATATCTCATTATTGGATGACATGGGTATACCAACAGTCTGTTTATACAATTACTTCACCTCCAATATTCAAATACCCTTTGCATTCGTTCGACTTCACTTCTTAAAAGAGAGCTTCGTCTTCACTAGACTCTGCACGCAGGGTAATATTCAAATGGTTGATACAAACTGAATTTGGTACCTCTATTTGTTGCTGTCATCTTTGAGATGATTTAGAAGGGTTTGCAATGTCATACACGTACCTATATACGAATATATAAGCATAGGTGCCAAAGGGAAAGGATCAAAAGTCGTTATGTAACCTGGTAAGAAAAGGCAAACTTTAAGTGTATACCAGTCATAGGAAAACAAATCACATATATCCCAAAACCATGATCTAACATGATACGAGTATTTGCTACGGATGCACCGATATGAGCTTGCAGCAATGTGCCAATCGGAGATGTACAATTGGTAGAAAAGCATAAAAGGAACCCCGCCCTGGTGTACTTCCTGTAAAATAGGATTTATAGACATGTGTCTTCTCTGAATCCCGGGGCGTCTCCCCCTCTTCCTCATGATATTCAAAATGGCTGTCTAAAGCGGGAAATCGCTATGGTATGATTTAGAGGTCTATGATTGGATCTCTATTATATTGAATATTTGGAACTTTGAAACTGCTAAATAGTCAAATGCTAGAATTCATTGAAAGATTACATTGTTTAATTGTATTTTGACATTCAAGCGAAATCCACAAAAATCTGTTGTTATTCTTCAAAAAAGGATGTTTTCATTCTTGATCGACCACCATTACCATTCGTTCGCACAAGGCCTGTGTGTAACTTGTATAGCTTTAAATGTTCTTGGATTCATCCTTATTAAGAAGGACACTGGAGGATTGTTCCTCATGGTTCATTTCAGGGGGATTTTAACCACTGTTTATGCACCTATAGATTTTACCGGAAGTAAAGCAAAAAGACCCCGCGAAAAACGAATTTCGGGCAAGATTTCTATCATTCTGTTTACTCGCTAACACCACGGCCATATATCCATTTGACACCTAGCGTGTTCAGGTACTACGTATGCATCACGCAGGCCAAATATATACCGCTGGTTGATTTCTCATTACGTTCGGCTTATTCTCGCAGCGACTATCTCGCACCAAGACATTGCTCATCCTTATCCTATTCTAGTCTATCACTTATAATCCTGGATAGGTACGGTTGATTTCTTTTCTTTTAGAAGCCATATTTCGCACATAGCAACAAACTGTAACAATTACTGATATTAGCCCAACTGCAACGAACCCTCCAACAATGATGAGAATGTAATCCAATCTGCTCAATACATATTCAGCTGAAAATGTAATTAAAACACTATTTGGTTTATATATAAATAAAAAGTATAAACTTATCCTTGAAATACGAAATCTTTGATATGATACGATAACTTCGATAACTCAACATAAGTGTATTCCTAGTTGTACCTTTACACATTCTCCCTGGTAAAATAGTGTCAGTCCTTTCATCAACAAACCCAGTGGCGCATGCGCATGTGTATGATCCTATCTGATTCGTGCATGACGCATTTGCGTGGCAATCGTTGGAAGAATGGGTTGAACACTCATCGTAATCTGAGAAATAAGTGAGATACTATTATAATTCCTTATAAATAAGTCCTTATAAATTGTATCCGAAACTGTGAACTGATTTTGCGAAAAATGTTACTAAATAAATAAAGCGTACCTAGTTACTTTATTATTTATATCAATGATAAATTCTAATGTGAAATGTAATTTAATATCAACTTTCTATTTCCCATGATTATTAGGCTTGACATTTAGTTTTAACTATCATTGTGTGAAATATGAGCTATACTTTTCAATAGCATTTTCTGCATTCGCACACATTGCGCAAAAAAAAGCTTTAAGAATTTTACCTTTCACTGATTCAGGCTGTCCTCTGTATTTTAGTAAGCCAAATTGGTTCGCAGCTGTTACATTGAATGACGCCTCCACCAAATCTGGTGTTGGAGGATCACTGGCGCCATCTATCGACAATGGTTCTAGAGTCAGGGAGAAAGCTACCAAGATGGATCCACTGGTCAAATTCTCTATCTTTAGGAATGCTCTATACTTGTGACCAAGAATGCCTTGTTTATATCCCTCACTGACCTAATGATATAAATAGATTTTCAATAAATGCTAAAGAGAATTATACAGTTGACATAGATCAAGAGTTGACAAAGAAGTGAACTATTTGCTTTAAAATCTAACGATGAATTAAAAGAAAATACATTTTATAAACACATACCGAGCAGAAGAATTTTTCTTTGAAATCTTTATATTCTTCGGATTCCACATCTTTGAGTGCTTCTGAAAACCTTTCATTCAGTCGCAGAACAACTGAGAATGCATATCCACCTATTGAACATAAACATCGAGCGAGATTGATTAGCTGATCAGTTTGATATGTACTAAGGGATTTAAGCCAAGGCCTTAATGAATTGTGTATTGATTTAACAACGTGGTATGTTGTTTCCAGACTTTGCATGAGCGTTGCAATAATGTGCTTAAATTATTTTCACACGGTCAAAGAGATTTTGTCCAGTATCATTTCAAGAAGATTTCTTTCAAGGGTTAAGAAGGTTTAATATTAAAAACTAGGTCAACATTAATCATTTGACCTGCATGAACACCTGTTTTGTTATTCCCTATGATACTATTTAATTGATCAACATCACTAAAATCAAGAAATGGAATCAACTTCACTAAATCTAAAAATAGCCATATATTGCTTGGTTGTTATTTCAAAATTCTGTCTTCTTAGCGGAATTTGGACATACCTTGCCCAGCAGTTGAATAGCAGTTGAATGTTAACAAATAATTCGAATAATGTACTTACTTTCAGCACACGTTTTGCCTACTCGACCAGGAGGACAGGTCATTTTACCACATGAATATGGTTCTGTTTTGGTAACCATTTTTGCCGTTGTAATAACGGTAGAGGATGCAAATGTTGTATTAGTTATTGTAGTCATTGGAACAGTTACAATAGTTTGATCAGATGTTGTAGCTGGAACTGTAGTTGAAGTTTTATCAGATGTTGTGGTTGGCAAAATTGTAGAAATTCCATCAGTTTTTGTTATTTGTACAATTGTTGTTGAAGTTGATGCAGTTGTAATTCCATCAGTTGTTGTCTTTGGTACAGCTGAAGTGTTTTCATCAGTTGTCGTGGTTTGGACAATTGTTGTTGAGGTTGGTACAGTTGTAGTAATTTCCTCAATGGTGGTGGTTTGTACAGCAGTCTTTGTTTGATCAGTTTCAGTGGTTTGGACAGTTGATGTTGAGGTTGGTACAGTTATAATTTCATCAGTTGTTGTGGTTTGTACAGTTGTTTTCGAGGTTGGTACAGTTGTAATTCCATCAGTTGTTATGTTTTGTGCAGTTGATGTTGAGGTTGGTACAGTTGTAGTAATTTCCTCAGTTGTAGTGGTTTGTACAGCAGTCGTCGTTTTATCAGTTTCAGTGGTTTGGACAGTTGATGTTGAGGTTGGTACAGTTATAATTTCATCAGTTGTTGTGGTTTGTACAGTTGTAGTGACTAGAAAAAAAATAATAATCAGATCGATTAAATACAACCATGCCTCAATTTGAGCCAGTTGCCCAGGAGTGTTTCGTTCTTTTTGATTATGCTTACCATCTAAACAAGTCCACAGTGTATTTGGCTTTGGTATCCAACCTTCGTCGTAAACCTCCCAATTGCTACTTTGAGTTGGATCCACAGAAGAATCATATGTGTAAGCGAAATAGCCATCTTGTATAACTATAGGATCGGATCCGATAACCCATACTCCATCCGACGCTATGTAGTAAAGGTTGAATATGTCATCCCCACCAGAGTGTTTGTAACTTGGTCTTCTCCCAACCTCTTGGTCATTATTCTCATAGAGACCATTTAGTGCAGAATCCCCTATCCCAGATAATTGGAGCTTTCGACATGATTCACCTGAAAATGATGTCAGAGATTTTAGCGTTTATTGACTATACGGGTTGGTCCAAAAATGATGCACCATGAATTGAATTCATAAATGCTGCAATTAAACACCCATTGTGTTCTGCGTCGTTCGTTCAAACATGATGAGCTTCAAAGGGGAATTAAAAACGAGGGGGTTCAGAATTCCATATCTTCCCATCTGAATTCTCAGCTACAGGGCGAGCCAAATATGTTAATAACTCAGGCATTCAGTTTTAACCTCATATTTGGCACAAACAAATGAACCTTGTTCAATAATGTTATTTCCATTCTACTAAAGGATAGGTATCGATACGGTGAACTAAATTCAACAATGTTTTTTTCTTAATCAAATTATTGAAAACATTCTGTAAAAACACGGTATTTTATGTAATGTTGACTGACTGACAACAATTTAATGCGAAAATTATTTAGAAATATTTTATATAAATGTTTTTGTTATCATTTTTTGTGCAATTGTTTTTGCTCCTTTCTACCATTTCTTGAGAATGAAATAAAATGACTGTCTTTCCGACCTTGTTGAAACAAAATAGCATATACAACATGTTTTAGAACTCTAAATATTACAGTTATACAAAGGAATTTTTGGTGGATTTTAAAAAAGTATTCAAAAAATTAAAACAAAATCCCCCAAAATAGATCAAATAAAATCAAGATAAACCTTTTATTTCATTAACAACACCCATCCATTTTAATCTCTGTTCTTTTAGTTCTCTGATGTTTCTAGGGTTGCTAGTGTAGACATTATATTTGAAATAGCCCCAAAGAAAAATCAAGGGGAGTAAGGGTTTATATTGTGTGATTTAGGCATATTTACCCATTTAAAGCACGTTTTGTAAATGGCCATACAATCATGACTATTTAGATTAGACCAGTGAAAGTTAGTGGAATGGAAGAACATTGAACAAAGGACCAATTGTGCCAAATATGAAGTAAAACTCATACTGGATGACTGAATCATTAACATTTGTTTGGGTTACCTTTTTAGCTCACCCTATTATTTGAAATTAACTAAATCATATCAAATTTATTTTGTCTCATTTCGAAATAATCATTGTTTTTTCAGGTTTCTCTCAGTTATCTGAAAGCATACATATGTGCAATGGCACTTTCACACATATTGTATTCATAATTATAGGCTAACAAATAAGACAATAAATGAGGTTCAAAACGGACGTATTTGAAAAGAATGCTATATTTCATGCAGTGATAAAAGAAACATACTTGCTTTACAAGATGTTGACATTCCTGGTTCCAGTACCCAGTCATCCTGTATAGAATACGCTTCCCATGTTCCTGTTATCCTTTCAGCAGAAAGTGCCGAATCCTCAACACGTATTGCACCTATATCGGAATTACCTATATCCGTAGAAATGTACCAGAACCTCAATGACTGGTCGACGACAACGTGAAACAGGAAGTTGTCTCCACTTTCGTGGATATAGACAGGTCTTCCATTGAGGAGTGAACCATACAATGCGTAAATACCTTGTCTTGACCATTGTTCAGTTCCACCATTTAAAATGACCTGACCGCAATAAGCAACCGGACCTGGAAACGAGATACAACAACACCCTAAATAGCTGGACATTGTGTTTGTGACTTCCATTTCCATTATGGAAATATGTTTTGCTATTTGAATGTATTTTTTCAATGCAATATTGTCGTAAGTGTGAATTTCAGTATACTGCAGAGAAATACAGTTTTATCCTATGCCAAGTAGAGTTTTAGGGAGATAAGGTGGTAAGATATATCCCGTATCCTGATTTTGAGGTTTCCATATCCAGAACCTCCATATCTCCCGCCATATCTCCCGCTTCGGTGCATATCTTCCCGCTTCAGGTAAGTAGTGGAAATGCAATAAAATGACTTTGCATATGAATGATTTGTTTATTTTTACACCTTGTACTATTGAAATGGCCATATGCCCCTGAAAACTCTACTTGGTATAGGATAAAGCAGTTATGTACGGTCGGTTTGGATATTGGGTTCATCCCTCGTGAGATATGCACATCTACCTTCGGTCCCTACGGTCCCTCAGGTAGATATGCATATCTCCCTCTGGATAAACCCCATATCCAAAACCTCCCAGTACATAACCCTTATATATTAATGGAGCATCGATTTTTTCACCAAGCAATATGCGCATACACCTTAAGTTATATTTGTATTTATAATATATATATATACTTTTGTTCTATATTGTAGTTTCTCTCATACTTACCAAAGTAGCACTCTAGAACTATCGTACCAGAAGACACAGTCCATACATTTGGAATTTCAACTGGGTTTGTGATGGTTGTCGTGAACGTTGTGGTTATAGTTTCAGACTCGGATACAATACTCCATTTATTGCCATCAATCATGCGTATTGTCACTTCTCCCTTTGGTTTATCTTCTTGCTTTTTGTAAATAGGTGCACCATTTGAATCATCATTTACATGGTTGTAGGCTCCCAATAAATAAGCTTGTGATCCTGAAACGCCACTCAACCAAATAGTGTCACATAAAGAAGAGCATGAAGTAACAATACTTGATTCAGCCACCCACGTTGTACCATTAAAAGATTGCCAGACCTCTGTTACGTCTTGTGGTTGCAATGCTGAGCTGAGCACTCGTATCCCTGATTGAGTTTCTCCAATTGTTGATCCTATGAGCCAATATCCACTGTCATGAAACATGAACACTGGCTCAACTAGGTGTTTGTAAACTGGTCTGGAGTTCCATGGCATCGACTGCAGTTTGAAGATTCCTATTCGCCAAACTTGTTTCGGGGATTGTGAAACACCGGCTACTTTAAGACTTTCACATGGGATATTAGCTATTCCTAAAACATGACAGACATATATTAGCATTATAGGTAGTCGGAATGGTGGCTCAAAAGTGCCAGGAAAGTACTTTTTAATGTACAGTTGCAACATATTCTCGAATTTGGTACCATTGGAAAGCTTGTGGTGCCTAGATTTGAGATCCACTTGTTAGCAATTACGAAATGTGGGCCGAATGTGTCTAAAACGCCCGTTTCCATGGTAACCACAAAAATATAGTGTTAATAAGCAGAAAATTGTTTTTATGCATAACTTTACTAATATTGCTCCGATTTTAATGAAATTGGTATCAAATTAAAGAGAATTAAGACTCCCATTTTTGGAAATAACATTTATGCAAATTAGCTCATTTGCATATTGATTGTGACGTCATCACTGCATTATTTTGCGTATTTTTTGATAAACGAGTATATTTATTTCAGTGCAGTAATGTACAGTTGCAACATATTCATGAATTTGGTACCGTTGGAAAGCTTGTGGTGCCTATATTTGAGATCCACTTGTTAGCAATTACAAAATGTGGGCCGAATGTGCTAAAATGCCCGTTTCCATGGTAACCACAAAAATATGGTTAATAAGCAGAAAATTGTTTTTATGCACAACTTTACTAATATTGCTCCGATTTTAATGAAATTGGTATCAAATTAAAGAGAATTAAAACTCCCATTTTTAAAAATAACATTTATGCAAATTAGCTCATTTGCATATTGATTGTGACGTCATCATTGCATTATTTTGCATATTTTTTGATAAACGAGTATATTAATTTCAGTATAGTAATCTACAGTTACAACATATTCATGAATTTGGTACCGTGTGAAAGTTTATAGTGTCTAGTTTTGAGATTCACTTGAAAGTAATTACAAAAAGTGGCCCAAATGTGTCTAAAATGCCTGTTTCCATAGTAACCACAAAATAACAGTGTTAATAATCAGAAAATATCTTTTATGCATAACTTTACTGAAATTGCTCCGATTTTGATGAAATTAGTATCAAATTAAAGAGAATTGAAAGTTCCATTTTTGAAAATAACATTTATGCAAATTAGCTCATTTGCATATTGATTGTGACGTCATAACTGCATTATTTGCATATTTCTAGATAAATGAGTATATTTATTTCATTACGGTAATTTGAAGTAACAACATATGAATGAATTTGGTACGGTCAGAAAGCTCATGATTCCTAGTTTTAAGATCTGCTTAATAGCAATTATGAAAAGTGGACCGAATGTGTCTAAAATGCCCATTTCCATAGTAACCACAAAAATATGGTGTTAATAAGCAGAAAATAATTTCTCATGCATTAGTTTACAAATATTGCTCCGATTTTGATGAAATTGGTATTAAATTAAAGAGAATTAAAAGTTCTAGTTTTGGAACTTACTTTTATACAAATTAGGTATTTTGCCTATTGATTGTGACGTCATCACTCCATTTTTTGCATATTTTCGAATAAAGGAGTATATTTGATTCAGTACGGTACTGTGCAGTTACGACATATATATTAATTTTGTACCTTTGGAAAACTTACAATGCCTTCTCACCCGCTCGTCGCAATCAGAATTACAATCCGGATTTGTATCATCCTCTAAGCCTGTAAGCGCAACGCAATCGCAAATTGACAGATGTTCCAATCGCAACTGGCCAAAAAATTGCGATAACTTTTACGCTGCCGCAAATCAATCGCAAATATCACTCATCTTTAAGACAATTGTTATCAATTTCAAATGTGTCAATCTAGGGGTTTCTTTTCTTAAGGCGACTGTTTTTCGAAAGTGCTTAAATCAAAGGAATCGTTAATGGTATGAAGGATGTTTAAAACCTTAGAATTTTATAATTAAATCCAAATTCTGATTGCTAATCAAAGAAATTGAAACACTACATGTACGTTCATTTAGGCATCGTCCCTTTGACTCTAACTGCAGTTAGCTTCATTCAAGATGATTGCCGAAATTCTTTCGTTTTTCGCCATGCAAATTAATAAAGCTACAATGGTAAATAACCACAAATAAATGCTCAAACAACCGCTACATTGGAGAATTTTAAGGAAAATGGCTTCACTTAGAATGACTCTAACTGAAGTTGATGATAACGTAACAACTTCAGTTAGAGGCATTCTAAGTGAAGCCGTTTTCTTTAAAGTCCTCTAATATTGCAGGTATTTGGGCATTCAATTGTGGATGAATACAATCCTAGTTTTATTGATTTGCATGGCGAAACTTTTGGAATCAAGATTCAACGTAGTTTAGCTCAAACCGGGGGTTTATCGAAAAAGAAAGAATCTTGGCAACCATCTCAGGCCTGTCAACTGTCCCGCAATTTGTGTATTTGTCACGCATTTGCTGAAGAATTTGAAGTCACGCCAGTTATTTTTGCGTGACAGAAAATGTCACACAAATACGCATTTTACCTGGTAATTGTCAAGCAAAAATATTTCTGTAGAAAAATTTCTAAAAAAGATCGTCTACACAGCAAAAATACGAACGCCGGAAAAAAAACGTACGCATTTCGTTCGGACTTTTCACGCGAATTACGTATATGTCACGCATTCCGTTCGAAATTTTTCGTACCTACCTCCCCCCCCCCCCCCCCCCCCCCGTTGACGGATGTTTGAAACGCGAGCGTCGCGAGCGCGAAAAATTTGAGGTGTTCAAAATTTGGCAAGATGTCCTAAAATTTAAACCAAGGTGTTCAAAATTTGGATCAAGGTGTTCAGATTTGGACCAAGATGTCCACATTTTGAGGGGAGGTGTTCAACATTTCCAAGTCACTCATGTTAGGTGTTTCCAAGTTGACAGGCCTGAATTATATAGGAACTGCAAATTGGTAAATTATTTTTAAATTGTGCCATGCAATATGCCATGCAATATTTGATTATAAGGCATTGATTTTTAAAATATGTGATTTTTGAAGGAACTATAATAATAGCTGTAAATCTGGTTGCTTACACGGAAATCACTGCATGTAGATTTTAAATACTAGGCCTAGCCTAGCCTACTTTGTACATTTCTTTCCAAACCGCCATTCTGATTTCTCGCAAGAAAATGTCAACTTAGGGATAACAACAAGTCCTGGTTGATACAACAGGAGCTGATAACTTACAGACTTGCAAACAGAATATGTGGATGTATGGAACATTTGTAGATATCAAGTAAGCAGCTGAATTCAGTACTTCAGTACTAGCCGTTATGAGGATCTGGTGACTAACTGTGACCCATAAGCAGAACCCTCCAAAAATATCCTTTATTATAACATGTAATCAGCTCAATTTTTATGTAAATAATCAAAAATCTATGGATAACAATGCGAGACCAATTTCTTTGCATAACATTCAATATTCTGCTTGTTATGTACTGAGGTGGATGCACTCAGATGAGTGCCTGTACAGACGAAACTTTACTTGTGATGAAGGTGCACTCGGATGAGAGGGTGTACTGACTGAAGAGTGTGCACTCGGATGAGAGGGTGTACTGACAGGAGTGTACACTCGGATGAGAGCGTGTAATGACTGAGGAGTGTGCACTCTGGTGAGATGGTGTTTTGATAGTCAACGACGTTTTCCCGCTCACGATATTCCTTTAATGATGTGTGACTATACACTTTCATATTTCAAACTTCCAAAAGTTTTGCCATGCAAATTAATAAAACTACAATTGTATTCATCCACAAATGAATGCCCAAATACCTGCAATATTAGAGGATTTTAGAGAAAACGGCTTCACTTAGAATGACTTTAACTGAAGTTGATAATCTACGTCATCATTACATCATCATCGACTTCAGTTAGAGTCATTCTAAGTGAAGCCATTTTTTAATTCCCCAGAATCGCGGTTGTTTGAGCATTTATTTGTGGTTATTTACCACCGTAGCTTTATTAATTTGCATGGCGAAACATTTGGAATCCAGATTCAACTTAGTTTAGCTGAAACGGGGTTTGTTGAAAACGAAAGAATTTCGGCAACCATCTTGAATGAAGCTAACTGCAGTTAGAGTCATCCAGCTGTGGAACAGTGACCTTGACATAATAGTGGACACCTCTCCCACCACCTCGAGACAGATACCTAGGTTATTCCAAATGAGTCCCTATTTTTCATTTGTCAGTTGACTGGGGCAAAGAACATCAAAGTTATGTCCATTTTTAGCGATGCCAAAATGAACGTACATGTAGTGTTTCGTTTTCTTACATTTGCAATCAGAAATTGGATTTGATTATAAAATTTGAAGGTTTTAAACAACCCTCATACCATTAACAATTCCGTTGATTTAGGCACTTTCGAAAAATATAAACTAACTTTTTATTACACAGTCGCCTTAAGAAAAGAACATACTTACGCTCAATAAAGAAACTCCTAGATTGACACATTTGAGATAGATAACAATTGTCTTAAAGATGAGTGATATTTGCGATTGATTTGTGGCAGGGTAAGAGCTATCGCAACTTTTTGGCCAGTTGCGATTGGAACATCTTTCAATTTGCGATTGCGTTGCGCTTACAGGCTTAGAGGATGATACAAATCCTGATTGTAATTCGCAAAAATTGCGTTGTGTTGTGGAGTGCTTGCGAATATGCCTTGTAACGAGCGGGTGAGGAGGCATTATAAGTTTTCCAACGGTACAAAATTAATTTATATATCGTAACTGCACAGTACCGTACTGAATCAAATATACTCATTTATTTGAAAATATGCAAAATAATGGAGTGATGACATCACAACCAATATGCAAATTAGTTAATTTGCATAAAAGTAAGTTCCAAAACTAGAACTTTAAATTCTTTTTAATTTAATACAGGGTGTTCAAAAAAACGCAACCCAAAGAAATTGCTATATCTTGAAAAATACTGGTTGAATTATGTTCATATTTTCAGGAAATAAAGAAGAGACTGTGTATGTATAGCTCCTGTCAATGGTTAGTTGTAAAACATGATGCCTTGGACACCTGCTCAAAAAACAGTTGAACTAGCAAAATGCGAAAAACGCAGTCAGGGGTGACTGCAA